GTATGATGATGTGAGGCGGGCATACGCCCAAGATGGTGAGATAGTGAAGTTGTTGTCACATCTCTCCCAACCATCTCGAGAATCGTTGAAACGATTGTCGTCTGCGTATCGATCTGCATCAGATCGATACACTACTCGTAACGGTTTACTGTACTATACAGCCGTTTCTGGTGACACACCACGTGTTGTCATTCCAGATGATACTGATCTGCGTTTGCGGATCATGTTCGAGTATCACGATGCTCCTATAGGAGGACATCGTGGCCGAGAGAAAACATATCTCACGGTAAGTCGAGACTTTTACTGGCCCCGCCAGTATCAGTTTGTGCGAAAGTATGTTCGCGCATGCGAAGTCTGCCAACGAGTGAAGTCAAGTCCTTCACTGCGTGCACCTTTACAGCCTCTACCGGTTCCGGCTGAGTGCTGGGAATCCATCTCAATGGATTTCGTCTTCGGGTTACCCAAAGACGCACGCGGGAATACGGGTATTCTCGTATTTGTTGACAGATTCAGCAAAATGGTACACCTTGTGGCTGTACCAGAGACAATCACGGCAAGTGGCTGTGCTTGTGTCTTTATTGACACCATCTTCCGACTTCATGGGTTGCCCCGTGAACTCGTATCAGACAGAGATCCACGATTCACTGCTGATTTCTGGCGTTCCGTGTTCAAATCACTCGGAACGCGCTTGAAGATGTCAACATCTGATCATCCAGAGTCAGATGGTCAGACGGAACGTGCCAACCGTGTCCTCGAAGAGATACTTCGAGGATACGTACACTCCTTTAAGAGTTGGAGTGAGTTTTTGCCGATGGTAGAGTTTGCCATCAACAACTCGGTGCATGCGTCCACGACACATACACCGTTTTACGTGAATGGCTTGCGCCATCCGCGTGTACCCACCTTACTAGAGTGTAACTCTGGTTTAAGGGGGGAGGGACTCGCGCGAGCAAAAACCGATTTGGTTCACGCTCATCACGCTCTGACGAGGAAGTCATTGCGTTTGATGCCGATATCGATAACATCGATATCGAAGAAGATGATGCCAGTGAGAGTGCGGAAGCCCTCACTGAAGACAATGATCCCAGTGAGAGTGCGGAAGCCCTCACTGAAGAAAAGGTTGTTGTTGCTGCAGTGCGCTCACAGCACACTGAAGCTAACGAGTCATCAGATGAGTTCATACTGGCTCGTGAAACGGTAGTCCGTTTTGTGCAAGACTCCATCGCCGAAGCGGTGGATAAGCAAAAGCAAAACGCTGACAAGAATGGAAGGGCAAACACTCTTTTATTTAATAAAGGTGACTTAGTCCTACTGTCTACGGTTAATCTACCAAAACATGTAGTGACTAACTTGGGTAGCAGTAAACTACTACCCAAGTACATTGGCCCATTTCGTGTATTGCACCGCCTAGGCAATGCATACACGATCGAGTTACCACGTAAGATGCGAACGCATCCCACGTTTTACGTTGGTCGGCTTAAGCCGTACCATCAGTACGCTGCTTCTTCCGATGAAGAACGCCCTTGCGCTCAAGCATCTCGCAGAGAGCCTTGTGCTCCCGATGGTGGTCATCAACAAGGGTCTGAAGAGCAGTTATCTCAGCCCGAGACCGATCAACAATCCCACGAGCTACCCTTAGCTCGTCACGAAGAGATGTCAGAGATCTCTCGTTCTCAAGCTGAGCAAAGGCAAACTCAGCTCGATGCTTCGAGGCAGTGTCCACCATCTGGAGACGCCTATTCCGCTCATGCTCGAGATCGTCGCGTAACCCTTGCGTTACGCGATCAAAGAAGCTCTCGGGAACACACGCTTTCCCACGATTGTGTGGAGAGCATCTTTCCTCCTCCTCCACCTCCATTAGAGGACTCTCGCGGTGGCCAGCGCTATCTAGTTGAGCAGCTGTTGAACCACCGCGACGTGAACGGACGTCGGACGAGTTACCTCGTCCGGTGGCGCGGCTATCCCCCGTCCTGGGATTCTTGGGAGCCCCGCTCCCAATTGATGGTTGACGTACTGGGTCTGGTCGAGCAGTACGACGCGACACATCCTGTGCCGCAGAAGGACCGCCGGAGAAAGTCTTCCCGGCACGGTCGTAAAGGGATTTCAGGTTGTCAATCCCTTCGTACATCTCAGTAGAGACACGTACGCGCCACCACGGGCTGGTAAGGAGGTAAGCCTCCTTAGGTGCTCGTGCAGAGTTGTTCACACAACATGGGCACGAGTCTCCCCAAGAGAGGCAGGGTAATCCTTTCTCCCTTGACAGACGATGCAGCTTATAGCGTGCACCTGTCGGGGTTCGCTTTTCAAACTTATCACGAGCTTTGATAAGTTTGTCGTTCCAAGCGTCACGACCTACATCCTCGAGATTATGGATGTAGGCGTTCCACGCCTGAAGTAGTGAGGGACCATCACGTTTGTGATTCCCACTGTACCATCGATGTCTGAAGAAAGCATCGATGAAGAACTCATGTTCAGCGCGATAGTCTTTCGCGCTGGGGTCAAGGTGATGGATCCTTGACGAATCGAACAATCGTGTTCGATAACGATCACTCGTCGTCGCCGACAAGTGATCCATGACAGATTTAGGAGGCATCCATGCCTTCTTTTCTGGAGCGAGACGCAACACATTGCGGTCCCGCTCTTCCTGCGACGTGCCGACAGAAGTACTGGCACCTCGCTGTGAAGTGGTGTCCATTGGAGAAACGACACCACTATTAGCGCCCGAGTCTCGCGACCTCGAGCGCCTTCGCTTCGGCGATGGTTCATCTGACTCATCAGATGAACCAAAGATGCTGCGACGCAAAGCATCGTCCATGCCACGCTTGGCAGGCGGCTTGGATTCAATTGCCGTCGATACGGATCCGTCATCCGTATCAGGAGAGTACGAGACACCGAGCTCGTACTCTGTGAAGACACGAGTGTCTTCATGACCAGCGCCTGCATCACCAGGTGATACAGGCTGAGTCGATTCAGCAACCGATGGGATATCAGTTGCTGTAGTTTCTGCTTCGGCGTCCGCACAGAGACGTGCAGACGCGCTCTCGGCGGCCTTGCTCGCGCATCGCATGGGCTTGTTTACCATGCGATGAGATGTTGGAAAGTGGACGCGGACCAACAAGTGCAAACCCCGTCCCAAATGATTTGGGACGAGTATCCATTTAGTCAATCAGTCACTAAAGTGACTGATGGTTAAGGGGGGTGATGTAACGGGGTGAATCGTTACATAACAATTTATAAGAAATTGTTAATAGAATATAACTATAAGAGTTATATTCTCAGAATATTGTCATAAGGACAATATTCTGTAGCACTTCCAAGTAGTTCCTAATTGGTTGATATAGGCCATTATATCAACCAACGAAGACGCGCCACGACAGACGCACGCAATGAGTGGTGAGCAGATAACTGATTTACACATTTGTATTTAGACATAGTTAGATGAGGATAAATAGTGATTTATTGCAGACATTAACTATTATAAATACAGTTCTACTTTTTACTCTAACCGAGTACTCGCTTCTTCTTACCGTCTTCCTCTGCACGTACGAGTGTACGTGAAGTTACGAGGCACCGCCTTATTCTGTTATCAGAATAAGTAGCTTGTACTGTCACCAGTACAAGCTTCAGGGTGCCCCGTTACACCGCACCTTTACCACACCACAATATGGTTTGAACGACAAATATGCCCCCCCCCTACCTATGTACGACCACTTTCGCACAACAATCTGCAGCCATCGTACAAATGGTAAGTGGATTACCAAGCAAACTTCTTTTAGACCGCAATAGACGTTTGAAGCTTGTTGCTTTCGTAAACGAATTGACTAAAGAACACGAAGCACTCGTCACTACATGTCGGATACATCTGGGTTGCTATTTAGTCAGGGAAATGACGACAGCCATGTTCAGTCGAGAGAGGCACAAAAATAAATGAAACAATTGTTCAAGTTTCACCGAGCGTAGTCGGATACATACGTCGCGGCAAATCTTACATCCAAGAACGATGAATCGTATTATGCAGCTACGTGTAGTTTTGATCGAGCCTATCTGCGTAAGGACCAGGTCATTATCAGTCAATTAATAAAATGAGTGTCCAGCAACACGACACGTAACTGATCTCCATCATCCGATTTGGTGTATAAGGTCTCTAGTCACCAGGTGCCTCAACACGAATATTGTATTCGGTCTGTCCCCCGTTTAGTCCCGATCGAGCAATGTAGTCAATTTGGATTCCCAGAACAACATGCGGCGAGGTCATAATGTTCACCCTACAAGATGCTAAACATGCGCGACAGTTTGTTTTCCCTCGTAATTTTGTTCACTAGTGCTTACTAATATCGATATATGTACATTATGCTACTACAGCACGTGACGGACTGAGAAGTCTGTTTACGTGCTCAAAGCTGCTTTTTGACTGATGCAATGGCCATTTCGCAAATACGAGATTGACTGATCAAAGCACTCATCGTTTGTACGATGACGCATATTGTTGTGCCAAAGTGGTCGCACAGAGGTAGGTGGGCGCGATACTCGTCGTACATACCACATTTTGGTGTACTAGGGAGTGGTGAATGGGGTGTATTCAGTAAAAAAAATGGGGTGCATTCAACAGTACCCTATGTCTTGAATCTCTCATGTCGAGTCAGCATACAAAAGCCAAGTGACGCAGCTTGGTGCGGGACACGGAGTTCCTTCAACAGGAATGTAACCCTCGATAGGGGTTCTTATATGGAGGGACGACGATTGTCGTGGTAGCAACCGTTGTTGCATTCGTCGAAGTAGCAGCAGTAGTGGTGGCCGCATCGTGCTAGAAGTAGCAGTAGCATAAGTCGAAGTAACAGTGGACGTCAATGACACCCCGTCTTTCAAACCCTTTGATTCGTCGTCACCTGCCTATCCGCCTTCTGATGATTGGATCCCCTCTCTTGTAATCCATCCCCTTTTCAACGAATACAGCAATCACCGCAAAACCACAAGCTACACCTCACAACCCACAACGCAAAATGAACACGAGCGAGTTCAACACCTCGCAGCCCGAGACGAGCTCCGTCGTCGCGCCAGCCGCGTCCACGACCTCCTCCGGCGACCAATGGCGCGTCGTGCTTGGCTTTGCTGTCCTCATTGCGTCCTACATCCTTCGCGTCGAAGTCGTTCGCTTCTCGCTGCGCGTTGCTCGCCGCATTTTCCCCGTTCTGTTCGCGTGGCTGCGCGAGTTTGAAACGATGTTACTGCGGCCGCTCTCGTGGGTCGTTTTCGTCCTCCTCGCGTGGTTCTCGACGTATGTGATGGACTTGGATGCACTCGTGGACATGGAAGCGGGCACGCTGCAGGGCATTGTGACGCTCTTGCTCGGGCCGCCACTCGTCTGGACCGTCATTTGTCTGTGCAATTACGTTGCGTGGGGGATCATTCGCGTCCAAGGATGGAGTCGAGCTGTGTCGAAAGATGACGACGACTATAGTCGCGTCATGATTATTACTGAGGGAATTGGCGTGCGTTTTCGATATTAGTAGTGGGCTTGGTCGTAGTCGATGACTATTTAGAGGACTTTTACGAGTGGTATTGTTGTTATTCTTGTTGTTGACGTCCTTATTGCTGATATGTTTGTATTGTATATACTGGTGGCGGTGGTGGTGGTGGTGGTATTGCTCATCTGTGCTTGACTAGGTGATTAAAGTGTTGCTGGTGGCAGCAGTCGTGTCGACGTGCATTGTGGATGAGATTGGTCGGTTTACCGACTTTGAGTCGGGACAAGTGTCCACGGTGGCCGTGACTATGGTGGAGTTTGTGGTGGTGTTCGGTGCACATTCTTGGGTACGTACGTACACGTGCAGTTAGAGTGGAAACGGTCACGTTTCTGTTTGTCGATTTCTCTTTTGAAGTAGACTGATGTTAGTTTTGCTGTTGATGGTGAATGCGGTTTGTTTTTTGTAGCTGAAAAACATCATGGGTGGGTTAATGACGCTGCAAGATGAGCAGATTAAGAGCGGACTTCACGTATCCTTCCAGGGCCACGAAGGAGTGGTCGAGCGACTGTTTCTGCAGGGATTTTCGCTGCGCCAGTACGACAAGAGCGTGGCATACATTCCGAACAGTATTATGCTGGAAAACTCAGTCACGGTACAGACAAAGAGTCTAGACCGGCGCTGTGTCATTCCTGTGCATCTGAGCCACGCGACACGCACGACAGCGCTTCGCATATTCATCCAAGAGTTAGATAGTTTTCTGACGCAGCACATGAAGGATTGCCACGCAAATACAAAAGGGGGCATTCTTGGACTGGAGAAGCCGCAAGGTGGGTGGAACATGATGAACTTGTACGAACGCAACAAACAGCTTGCAATAGAAGAAGCATCTCAACCTCGGGGCCGCTTCTGGATCAGCATTGAGGCACCGTACCTAGTACACGTCGTCTATTATTCGCAGGAGCGACACATCAAAAAGCTGCTGGTCGAGAAGACTGAGGTTTGTCGATGTATGCGGTCCCTTTGGCTGTTGCATCATGCTGTTTGACATTGCTGTTGCTTGTCACTGTCACAGATCGTATTACGCATAACGGAGCTGGTGACCAAACTCCAGCTGAGTCTGTACGGAAATGAAAACGAACACGTGAAGCCAGAGTTATCAGCCCTTCCGTTGCCGGCTGATATCGAAGTGCCAGATATGAACGAACGACACTCGAGCTTTGTCCCACAGCCGATTTCAGGGATATCGAGCTGTCGCCGAAGGAGGCGGGCACCGCCGGCAAGCGAACCGTTGGGGCGACGCATCTCCAGCAATAACGATGCGTTGCAGCACCGCCGACTTTTTGGGGATCGTGCCAACGAAGTATGAATATCCCTGGTTGGTTGAATGAAATTGAGGTACTTCTACGTCCCATCGATGTTAATAATTAGCCGATTCGCCCATTTCGGCAGTGGTTTATGCGTCAGGCATCATTGGCATGTTGCAAAAGTTGCAGGCTAACAAAGCCTGACATTGTACCGGTGTGTCTTCCACTGTGTGCGAGTTCCACAACGAAGTTGTTCTGCTTCTGGACTCCGTCTGCTGGATCGCCACCGTCGTCAGCTGTTGTCTGTGGAATGCAGATCACACCTTGACCGAAGCATGGACCCTGACTACCCGCATGGATTTTTATCGCCACGTGCATGTTACCAGTTGGTCGTGCACAAGTGGCGTGAGTGATACCGTCACGCACGAAGTCGGTCCACTTGACGTGAGCCACGTTTGTCTTACATAGCAGTCGATCAGTGTTCTGCAAGTACACGCCACCACTCATCGAGTCCGCTAGCTCTAGCAGCTTGCGCTGCGCTGAAAAGATATCTTCCGATGGTAATGGGAATACGGTCGTCACCATCACTTGGTGTCCGTGACGATCAAAGCTCGAGGAACGCTGATCGATATCAATCGGGGTGCCGGACGACGTACGAGAAAAATCGGCCGCTGCATCAGGCTGCCACGACATACTGCTGAAGCTCAAACGTAACTGACACTCCAGAACGCCATGCACATCCTGCATTCGCTGAAGCTTCTTGGTCGAGAGTTCCGTCTCAATCGGCAGGAAGTCGCGGTTTACCAGAGCTTGGAACACTGCGATCACAGGCTTGTGGTCAGAGCAGCTGACTTCTTCGCACGAGGCATAGACGGCACATCGCAAGCGATGACGCATATCCGGCTGAGAAAAAAACAGAATCCGATCCGTGTATGACGGTACCCGCATACCGTGACCCGCTACGGCTGTGGTGTAGCACTTTGTCAACTCGTGTATCGGCCAATTTGCCCCGTCAAGTTTCAGTGCCGCCCCGCGCACACGGCGAAACGTAGGCGGGAATGCAATTCTCGCCTCATGGAAACCGTAGAAAATCTGTCCGCTTCGCATACCGGCCTGCAGTTCATCATGCAGTAACACATCATCCCACACAAATTGATCGTCGTCCACGCGCTCGCTGTCCGCTGAAAATTGGATGCTGTGGATGCTTTCATTCGAAGAAGCAAATGCTGACGAAGCATTTTTGACGCTACGCTCCAGCATGCTGACGCCAAGCTCATTGATCTCTCGATCGCTGCTAGCGCCTTGGGAACTGCCGAGTCCGAAAGAACTCGCGAGACCACGACTTCTCATCGGACTCCATCGTTTGCCAAGCAGCCCGCGGCGTAATCTGCGAGTCCTCTTGGTCGGCGCAGGTTTCAATGTTTCACACTGCCGTACCTTGGACACCATCTCCAGGATGGTATTTGCGCTTGCATCACGCTGTGTCAGCCTATAGTTGAGGTCTCCAAGAACGAAGCTGTGGTGATGCACGTGTGGAAACTCAAAACCCACGTCCTCGAGATTCAAATGTAGCTCCTGCAGCATATCCTGCGAGTCACGGTTTCGTCGCCATACTTTGGATTTCCCCTGCAACAAACGACAAACGATACGTCAGCGAACACAGCACAGCACCGCTGAACAAATGGAAAGCTCCCGACATGGAATCACCTTCGGATCTGAGGACAAATGACACGCTACAAATGCGAAGGAGGTGTCGTAGTACCGAAACGCGAAACCCACGGCACCTTTGTTCGACGCCCGGCCCAGCACCAGGGATTTACCGACGTTAACTTCCTGCTGCACCACGGGTGGCATGTAGAAGGCACCGCTGTCCACGTCTGAAGACTTGATAAACACCGTAATAGCGATGTGACCGTGGTAACCCAATGACTTGTTCTTGCTGCCAATCTCGCGATTAAACTGGTGGAACGTGGATTTTCTGCAGGCTGCTCGATTTGTTGCTGGTCGTGGACGTCCTCCTTCAAGGTGCTGGCAAATCAAGCTGCGGGTGTCTGTAAGATGTAGACACTCTTGAAGACCGATGACGTACACGTCGTGTCCAAGCGGTATCCACTTGCCTAACTGAGCAGGTGTTAGTTTAGCTTCGCCCATGTTGAAAGTCGACACGAAGATGTTCGCAGGTTGGCGATAGTGTTTCACCAAACTCAGAATGGTGTTGGTCGTGTCCATCGTAGGAAACGATGACGAGGCGACAAATTTGTGCGCTGGAACGGCAAGTGGCTTGCACGAGACTATCCGATACAACTTGGTCAGCAGTCCTCCGTAGATAATGGCAGTCGCAAGGCCCTGCGTACACACGGTAACCTGCATCAACAGCGCTACTGTAAACGTCGCCAGGCCAAGCTTGTCGTACAACACTACAGTCGCAGGTATCCCCATCGTTGCATCGTCAGTACACCGCCCAGAGTTATGCTACAACAACAGCAATAGAGTACTTACATCGAAAGACCGCGCTGGGCGTCCAGAGCACAATGAATACTGCAATGTAAATCCTCAGCTTGGACGTGATGAGTGCCGACGATTCTTGCGCATCCAAGTGCGCGTCGCGAAAGTCACGCGAGACGCGGTTGTGCGTGACGCAGAGGATGACACTGACGTAGAGAATCGCGAGAAGGACAAACAAGTAGAAGGTCCAGAACTGCTTCGAGCGCGACTTAATCCAGCAGTAGAACGTGGCATTGCCAAACACGTTGGCAGCATAGAGTGCCACGCTGCTGCTTATGGCCGGCACGAGTGCAAGCAGCACGTAGAGCTTGAATCGATTCTTGAGTCGTGCTTCGCTGTCACGACAGACAATCTTGCGGTAGAAACAGTGAGCGATTGCAGCGTTCCAGAGGACGGACAAGAGGCCAAACAGGTGCAAAGCAAACGCTTGCGCTTTGCACGACGCAGTGGCCACGACAGCATCAGCGGTGAGTGGGTTACCAAAGAGTTTCGGGAACGACAGTCCTGCGTCCAAGACCGAGAGCACAAGCACCATGTTTTGTACCATCGAGACACCACGATGGTGTCTCGACGAGACGTAATGGTGGCGGATAATGTAGAGACAGCCGACCAATGACAGCGCCGAGCAGCTCAAGATTACGATGTACAGAACGTCCAATTGAAACGCCGAGAGCGCCGTGTCGTTATTGCGCGACGAGTCGCTTGTTAGCGCGCGTTGGACCACGGCCATTTCTTCTCCTTGTACCACATTCATGTTGCTAGTGGCGCGTGGATCACAGAGCCTAGAGGCTCGCAAGCACGCGCGCAATCGCTCCGCACACGTACTGGAGCTTGGGGCTCTGCTGCTGTTTGATGCGGAGGATGAGGATACGGAGGAGACTTCGGTGGGAGGTTAGGCAACCAACGAGGCCCGTTTCTTGCGACAGCGGTTGAAGCAAGAGACGGGCCATTGAGGTCATGCTGGCTTATCGCTGTTAAAAAAAGGTCGACTAGACGGGCGGAATGTATGTCGGAGGACCGCCGCCGCTGCAGACGGGACAAAGTGGCTGGTGCTAAATTGCGTCTGCTCTCTTGGCCCGTTTTTGTCGGCTGGTGGACTTTCGGTTCAGAGCAAAAGTATAGAAGAGGGTCTGGACAGTGCACAGAGCCGCGACAGCTGGTCCGTGACGATGTGAGCGTGAACATGTACCCCGTGATCCGCCCAGGGGGTACATTTTCAGAGACAAGGGTTTGTATACAAGTGTGTATACACAGTGATGCTTATCATCCAATCAGATGTAGAGACCTTCATTTGTACACTCACTGTCCATACAAAGGTGTATAGCTCATCGCCAGCGTCACCTAATGCAGTTCTCCTTGTGGCGCCTGGGCCTGGGGCTGCTGGCAACGATCGCAGCGTTCCTACTGTCTCGACCCGTGATCGAAGGCCTGCTCCACATTGTCCGCACTCGTCTCGACAAGCGCGTACGGTACGATCTTGGGCACCATGCTATCAATTGAAAGAGTTGACAAAGTCGACCTTGAGAATCTCAAACTTAATACTTGCTTGAACTCTGTGCAGCTGGATTGCAGATGTGCAGCACTATATGCTCACGTACCTCTGGTGGTTCCTGTTCCTATTCCTGGTGCGACATGTCGTTGCTCAGTACATTCTGGGTTTGGGCAGCAAGAAAGACGAGGTGATGCAGTACTTGGGTTACCTTGTAGCCATCCCACTGGTACTCGGTACCTTTTCGATGCGCAAAGTTATCACAAATGTACGAAGCAGAACTGATTGACCTTTTTTTGGCTCGTTGTATCATCTCGTCGGGAGGGGGGGGGTGGGTAATGGCCCTTGTTGTTGACTGACGGCTAAACTGATTTTTCATTTGACGTTTGACGGTGCCACTTTTTTGATTCGTCTCGTGATGATCATGTTTTACAGGCTTTTGTTCGCTATCTCAAGTGGGATCGTTACTCGTCGGACTATGACGCGCGTGTCTTTGTTATCACGGAGTTCATCAAGTTTATGTGCATCGTGTTTATTCTCATTGAGATCTTTTACATTTTCTTCATCTCGAATCCATTCATGCGGTTCTTCCTCGTCGTCGGATTCTTGAGCGTCGAACTTGTGGTTGTGCTCGCAGGTTTCACAGTGGTAAGAAGTCCATTGTATGATATGTTGCTGTTATTTCGGGGTTGCTGAGAACTCACTCTTTTTCTACGTATTTCGTGCCTGTTTGAGTAGCTGAAAAATGTAGCGATGGGTCTCTTTCTTATCTTTGCAGAACCTTTTCGCACTGGTAGTGAAGTAAAAGTGCGGAATCTGCTGGGGTTCATCGAACGCGTGTCGCTTGCTAGGACAACCATGCGACGAACCGACGGGTCGATGATATTTGTCCCGAATGGCATCTTTGCCGATAATTATCAGACGAGCGGCAATGCCTTGGATGCCCACAGACATTCGGTCACGCTGCACCTTCATCCCACTACGTCTGTCCAACAGATCAAAGAGCTGGTGCATGAGCTGCAGATTGTTTTGCCAGAGTACGCTTTGACGATGCAAGCGCTTTCTGCACTACGCAGGGATCGCCGCGAGGTCTATGCTATCCGATCGAATAGTGTCGCGTGTAACAGCATAAGTGGAGGAAGTGATGACAGCGTCCCAAGAGATCAGCATCCGTCCACTGCAAGTAGCGAATCCAGCACTGCTACACCCCCTACTCGTGGGAGAACGCGCACCACCTCGAGCGCATTTGATGCGACTGGTCGGCCAATTTTACCGCTTTCTTCGCCTGTCCGCGTTGAGCTTCACGCCATGTTCACGGTGAAAGTGACTGTACTCGTCGACCGTGAACGTTTCGGCTCGCTCGAGAAGGCAAGGACAGAGGTGCGCTTTTGTCCAGTGCGTGGGTCATGTAGCCAAGCGAACACTTACGAACAGGGATGTTGCATTTATGCGTTTGTTTTGTCGTGGTAGGTGAATCTTGCAATCATTCACACGATCCAGCGGTTCGACGTCATCACGGAACAAAAGGGCGCCGCTTGCAGAAGAGCGGTGACCTAGCGCGGTTTACATGACACGCTAGTGGAAGCTTCGTTTTCCACAGGATGTTATCCGCACTGGACGTGCTGTATCAATGAGACCTCGCGGCAGGTCAGACACGCACGCCAGGTGCTAAAACATCCCCATAGTCGGTGCTGGCCAATATGTGAGCAACTGACAGCTCTGCCACCGCGAATAATTTGGAGTGAACCTAAAGATGGATTCTTTTCCGACTCAACATTATCCAGGACAGAACGGGTGTTGACTCAACTAAACGAGGCGTGCTTCAGTTTGCCACAAAGAAGCTTGCTCGTTGCCCGATTATTGGAGCTTAAGTTTAAGGTGTCGAGCGAGGCGAATGGAATCCGGGCGTCAACCGGAAGCGAATCGTAGTGCTGCATTCGTTCGCGTGCAGTTTTCTGGCTTGAACACACCAGGGCTCGCTTGTTTGGGCTACCAACTTATGCATGACTGAAACGACAAGCAGCCGAAGCGGGGTCAAAACAAATTTGGACGTGTCGAAGCATTTCTTGTGCAGCTGTTATAGCGTTCAAGACGACGCAGTTCACACTTACTGACTGCAGCTATTTATGAAAGCAAGGAGGTCAGAAGGTCATCTATGGAGCTATTCAAACTCATTGGCGCTGCGGCAGATACAGGTAATGGCACAGGGTGTCGACAACCCAAATGCGTATTAAATGAGGTGCTGGCGTGAAACCCCCTACAGGCATCAAAGAGCGAGTTTGTGAGCAACTACAAAATCGCGTGAAAGCGGCTGCGCTGACCTATCGAGTGTAAAGCATTCTCGCCCTGGAACGTGAATGACGAGCACTGGCCAGCTATGGGAACGTTTCGATCGAGGTTGTACAGCTAATGCATGCTTTCCAGCAGCATATTCCTGGCTGTCCATCATGACCGCTGAAGCAACGAGACGCCAAACCTCCTGCAATGGAACAGGGATGAATGTCTCCACCCAAGTGAGAATCTGCTTGAGCGTACCGACATTTAGCTGTGCCGGTCGAAGACTTCGCTAACCACTTTGCTCGACAGCAGAATCATGTTGTTTGAATCCAGAATTTGCAATTGCTGCACTCGTGATACGATCACTTCTACCTTCAAGCCAGCCTACCGACACTCGTTGCTCTGATGTTACAGATTCCGACTTCAGCAATTCAAGTCCAAATCTGCAAGAAGACTGCAAACCCCTACAGCTCGTCGTCTCTCAGTTCCACCGTCTGAGTCGGTGCTTCTTCCATTGTCGCGTACTCATCGTACGTGAGGTCCGTCGGGTCTTCAAAGTGTTTGGCCCATGGCTGGAAGAACATTATAAGAGCAAACACCACGAGCAGCACAAAGGACAAGCTAAAAAAGCACGCAAAATTACACAGCACAGACAGGAACACGGCCACAATGCAACCACACAGAATCAGCACCAGGTCTCGAGTCACAGACTCGACAAAGGCTCTGCGACAGACAGCACTGACATGGCCTTTGTCTTGTTGTATCCGGCCACCGAGAGATGGAAGGAATCCAGAGCGTCTTCAAGTTCCTTGATCCGTTTCTCATAGGCCGCCCGCGTCTCCAGCGTCAGCCTCCCCTTCTTCGCACCAGCTTCTTCGAGCTTCTTGTCCTGGAACACCAGTGCATTGTACTTGGCCAGCTCCGCACGAGCCATGGCCACTGCACGCGCACTCTTGCCAGTCTACCATGTCCCCATGTATACGTATACGCCCACATCCGAAATGTCAATTCTCGTACATTTTAACGCCAAGCGATAACAAGCACTTTTTAAGAAAACTATATATAACTACAAATTAATAAAAAACAATACGCGAATATCAAGATGGGTAGATCGAGCGAGCATGAACCCACCTGCTTGGTCGTATAGCGTTGAAACTCTTGGTCGAACTGCTCGGCAGCACGTTTGGCAGTTGTGACCCCGACGTTAGGCATTCCTCCATTGGCACTCATGATGGGCAGATTCAAAGTACTTGACGAATTATTACTTTCCGAGACTTTTACGATTTTGGCAGGACAAAAAAGCACATGATAATCAGCGGAGGTCCCGCAGAGACATGCCATTTCACGTTTTCGACAGCAGAATTGTACCTAAAAATTAGTGTTTTTTGTGGAGCATCAGTCATCATACATTTTTTAGGTATCGTGGGTTTCGACACAAGAGCTCCTAGCTTTCATGGAGACTGGCTACAGTCAAGACGTAGAAAGTGGTCCCGAGATGCAGTGCGTATGGATTATTGCCATCAACAGCAGTTTGCTCGTCAATCAGCACGATGCGACCCACAACGTAGTCGGGATATCTAGCAATTGACCAGCCAACACGTTAGTTGAAAGCCAAGAAGTCGCAAACAAAACTGACAACGTGAATGGCACCTCACCTTTGCCCGTCATTGCTGAACGACGAAATGGACTCTTCCGAGAGAAAGCGGTGTGGACAACCGAGATGGAAAGCCAGATACACCCGTTGGACATCACTCCCAGGAGCTGAGGTCGGCAAAAACAGTGCCAGGTCGTTCACACTGAAGCTGCGAAAAGAGATCTTAAACGAGTCGCTCACGTCCTGCTCGGACTCCATCAAGCGAAAGTCTGACCGCCGCTGCTCTAGCTCCGATTGCAGCATCTGATCGCACCACAAAGCAGCAAACAATCAATGACTCTGCTTGTGTTTGCACCACCTTCGTATAAACCACAGCAACTCACCACTTCTGACTCGGCAGCGGCTAACAACTCCTTTACACGCACTTCAATAGCGTCGAAACTTGCGTCTACGAGCACGGCATCATCTTCGATAACAGGAAGCTGCAGCAGCGTACGTAACCTGGCTAATGCCGTTCGCTGTATTCGGACGCTGCTACTCAGATCCGTGATCGTCTGCTGGAGTCTGGACTGGTTCTCCTTCAACTGGTTCTCGCGCTTTAACCGCTCCTGAATCTCCGTAAAGTCATCAACAGCAAACAACAAAGCACTGCACCGGTTAAGGAAACACGAGAAGATCAAGCACAATGCCACCTATCTCCACATGTACACATGCAGACGATTAGTGGAAAAGGATATTCTTCAAAGGCTGCTGCATTCAGCAAAAATTGCCGATTTTCACTCTGTTTAAACACAACATCGAGCACCACCACGGCTTAGTTCAAGCAACCCGCTGCCAGTGGATCAATACTGAGCAGCAAACACGAACCTCCAGCTTAGCAATGGTCGCGTCTTTATTGTTGGCATCTGATCCTTCCAGACATAAAAAAGGTCAGAACTGATGACAACAACACCCTGTTCGCTGTGTTTGCTTTACATCACGCACCGATATTGCGTCGCGGACTCGACCGGTCACCTTCCGAAGAATTCGTCATGCCACCTGCTGTCGCTGCCAGCGCCATTACCAGTGGAAACTCGCACGAACTGTCTCCTTCCCGTGCACTAGTCTTGGATGTATCGGATCGGGAAATTGATTCACTTCCAGATCCATAGTACAAGCCCTTTTTCGACTCTTCTAACTCAGCAGTGAGCTTCAACACTCGCGTCTCCAATTCATTGCACCGGTCCTGAAGAACCCGATCTGCATTCGCGGTCGGCTCGGAAAAACTGCCACGGTCCTCACGATCACCTACTTCCACCGAAGACAAGCGTTGCTTCTCTTCAGATAGACTAAGGTCGTGGTCGTCTTCGTCTTCAATACTAGGGAGGCTTTCGTCGAATGGGCGCATGCGAAACTCACAGTGAGATGGCTTCTCTGCAAGCCCTGAGACAAAGTCACGAGGCAGATGCTGACCGTAGCTACGCAGAAATTCCTCACGGTGCTGGACCTACATACAAATAGACCACAAGTGAGTAATACAGCTGACCCGAGCTGTTGCGACCCCTAGCACCGTACCTCATCCCCACGCATCTGGGCAAGTTCCTCCGCCATTGACTGAATTCGGTCTGAAAACAGACGGCCATACTTCAGACGTCTCGAGATCTCTTTTAGACAAGCCACATACGATTCTGTCACGCAAAAAACAGTCAGTAATTCCACGCGTACTACCTTACCCGGTCAGATCTCGCACAAATGAACTCACCGGGTAGCTTCTCCAGGTGTTCCAGCTCGTGAAAGTGTTGCTTCTGGGCAGCCAAAGCCTCACGAAATACCGCCAGGGAAGTCTCGAAATCCCGGATTTTCGACTGCAAGATGGAGACTCGGCGCAGAGTTGAGTGCACCCATGCATAAGCAATATCTTTTCTAGCAGCTATCTCGTTCACGTGATACGCGATACGTTCGAGGAGCTTCTGTGCATCAGGAACCTGTAGCAAACAGCAAAGCAGCTGTCAGCATCGCTCAATCAAACCACGACCCGATTTATTCTACTTATGCAATACCTACCATATTTTGCTGGCCTTGGTATAATTTGTCGATGCGCCGACACACGTCTAAAGCATTCGTCGACGCTTGCATAAGGTTACTTCCACCTGCTATCGCTGATGTCTCCTCAATACTGCTGAGCACGTACTGTAGATTGTCACGCAAGGTACGTGTAATAATCATTTGCTTACTGCACAGCGCTTTCATCTGTTCCAACTCAACACTTGCTTCATCATGACCTCGACTCCATTCAGCATGTGCAGTCATCATGTCAACAACTTCGCTGCAAATTTCGTCGTGAACTTGTTGCAGCTTCAGCACTTGTACTCGAACATGCGTGTGTGACTGCTCGCACTGCGCGGCCCACTCACGCTCCTTTTCAACAGGTATACAGTCGTAAAGTGTCTTCCTTTCTGCCGTGACCAATGCTGGATGAAGCTCCACTGTGGTCAGCACCTCGAGATGGCTATCAAACTTATCCAAGAGACCTTCGTGCTTGTTGCTTGCAGCCTCGAATTCTGCCCAAAACGGAGCAAAGTGCTTCATCATTGACGTCTTGAACAAATCCAGATTTGCAACAGCTGCAGCGATCGCTCGCTCCTGAACTTGCAACTCCTGTGCACCGCGTTCACTCGCCCGAATATTGGCGAGACTGCCATTCTGCAATGCTTCACTCTGGCTGACCTGTAGTTGGAAATAGCCCTCGTACTCTGCCAACGCCCGCATCATCGGATGGGAGCTTTCACTCAACATCTTGGAGCCTCCCGATGACGCCACTGGCTGCGACGGCACTTCAATTGCAGTAAACAGTAGCAAATGAACACACGACTCGCATCAGAATCCAGCTCCTCCTCACTAAGTAAAAGCAAACAAAAGGTCAACACCATACACAACGTCGTACATGTCACTTCAGCTGGAGTTAAAGCTGCTGCCGCAGGTAATACCGCAGCTGTTGTTGTCTCTCGTGACAGCAGTCGGCGGTCGTACAAAAACACCTCCTTGTGGTCCTGCATTACATTGCAATAGAAACCTCATGAAAACCGTGTGCTGCGTGCGTACAAAAACCTCGCACTCCAAAAAAAAACGAAAAAAACACACGCAACTTACTGCTGGTAACCCGTACGCCTCAACGGCTCGACGTGGATCCAAGCGAGCAAAGGGCGGACCGCACAATAGAATCTGCTCGCCCATAGGAACACCACTGAGACGCTCCAGCTCTTCGCGCAGCTCTTCAATCACGACACTGTGCACCAAGATAAAGGGAGAGAGAGAGAGCACCACATGTTCATCATTTTGTAAAAAAAACGGGTCAGTTTTAAACAATTATTCGCGGCCAAAAAAACGTCAAAAAAACGAAAAAGTACTTGACAGAATCCAGCGCCACCGCGTGCACAGCGCCCGTAGACGCGTCTCCCACATGCACGACCACATTGCTGCTCGTCTTGTTCTCTTCGTATAGCTGCTGCGACTGTGTCGTTGTCCTTGTGACGTCCATTAGAAATCACAGGAGCTCACCGTTCCCATTAAGACGCGGACTGACCAACTCACTAGTTTTGTTCTTTAAAGAACGAAAAAAACACGAGCTGTCTTTTTGTAGTAGACGTGCTAGAAAAAAGACGGTTCTTTTGAAGTTTTGACGGCACGTTTCTAGGCGATAGGACTCGTTTTGGGTACATGCTTTTGCTCTCTTTTCTGTGTTGTGCATATGCACAGATGCGACATGTCATCTGCTCGTCCATGATGCTACTTGATAGTTAAACCTCAGTAACAGCAAGAATTAGAGTTCATGCGGTCGTCACGATATCGGATAGCGCTTCTTGATCGCTTTATCAGTAGCTGAATGTATTTAATTTGTGCGACTTTTAGTCAGAGTAGCAGCTCAGTAGCTGTAAAAATGGTGCTGTCAAGACGAAGAAGGCAGCCCATTATTCCTTCGGAATGAGAGCAATATTTCGCTGGTCGCAAGGGACTATTTTTAAGCAGTGACAATGTTTGCTGTCTACTTCAGCGATGCTCTACAAGTGCATGAACGAAAGTTGCAAAAACGCAATTGCAGCACCGCACGGATACAGCAACTTCACGACCCATGAATAACCTGCACAGATATAAAATTCGAGCGGTGGTTGTATTTAATCCATTATCAAGCGTCACTCATTCATTCACCTTTGCCGCAGCTCATATAAAAAATAAACTAGCACACGCCTTCTGATAACCCCTCCGAGATATCCTCCGACAGATTGCGCGAACGTCGAAAAAGCACGTCCTCGTTGCCAAAGGTTTTCATAAAGTGAAAGCTCTTGATCGACTTGTCTTCACCAACAGTATTCAGTCGTGGCGAATCCGTGGCAAATGCGGACACATTCCGAGAAACACCCGGCGGTGGCACGGGGGATAGCAAGAAACGCGGCGACAGCGGCGATTCCTGGAAATCGTTCACCTGGTGCACGACCGGCTGTGACTTTTGCTGTTCGCGCGTCATCTCGACATTGCCAGACCCTTCCTTTCTTCCTTTGTCCTCCGCTCCAATGGACTGCTTGAACTTCGCGTAGCTTGATTCCCACTCCGACCCCAGCATGTTCGTCAAAGCCTTCAGCACTTCCTCGCTCGACCGTACGCGGTGCTCTTCAAACGCCGGCAGGCGCACGATCTCATGGATGTGTCGCATCAAGAACGGTACACAGTTCTTCTTTAAATCATCGGCGTTGCATTCTTCAGACAACGTCAACAGGTCCACGACATTCTCCACGCAAATCTGGCCACTCAGGAAAGCTTCTGTACGCTTTTGCAGCTCGTACACGCAATAGAAGGAGGACGCTCGCAGCAGCTCTTCAGCCACGTCTGGAGTTATGTCGACTTTGCCGGTATACTGCACGTCAGCAAAATTGCATCGTTAGCGTCCTTTCGTTCGCTTTAACTTCACTCACATTGCTATAAAGCAAGAAATCTTACCAGGAAGCGTAGCAAGATAGAGAAAACTTCGTAGCTGCAATTGTCTACTTCAATCACTGCTGTTTGACTGGATGATCCAAACTGTATTACGTCAGCAAATGCCACCAAACCATCAGCATACACACTTTATACATAAAAACGGATACCAGCAAAAGACGTGAAATGTTGGAAGCAATACTCACCCTCACCACGTTCTTGAAATACGAATTGCGGAAGAATAGGACGACTTTGTGAGCATTGATCGGAGCAATGTGGCCCTTCACGAGAAACTGCAGATCTGACAAGGATGAATTCAGGAACAGCTCTTCATGGTCATCCACAAGATACGGCGGCACATCGATCGTCACGTCCGGATCATAACCTGCAGGCACCAAATGCTTTATCGCGTGTGCTGCAGCACAGCGGGGAAACTCCGCTGTCGACTGTAGCATGTGGTATAACACTGATATCAGGCCTTCGGATAGAAGACTTACAACCTCCTCGGCATCCATCATGTGCACGAACGTAAGCAAGATGTTACCACGAAGTTCCCCTGCAGGAACACACGTTAGATTGCGCTCACTGCGGAATAACAAACTGCTGCTACATACCGATGTTGGCGTCAGCAGAAACACGGGCGACAGCATGGAGCATCCGCCGAAAGTCTTGTCGGTTAATCTGCTTCCAGATGTTACGAAGTGCTTCCAAGCAAACAGCCCACGTACTAAGCATTTCTTCCACCTCCAGCATCTGTAAAACTGCTCCCTCGAGCACCATCTGAAGTGTGCTAGCCACGTTGCAAGACAATGCGCATAGCGCGCCAGCAGCGTGTGACGAAATCGATTCGTCATGGTGATGGATTGCGTCCATTAACAGCAAGATTCCGCCAAAACGAGTGATGTAATCATGATTGAGCGGATTCTCCATCAAAGATTCCAATGCGATCACCGCTGTTCGCTTCTTGTTCGGATCTTCATCCCTCAACAAATCAAGAAGATCGGGAATCGATCCCTCGACACACTTATCACACAACCGCGCGCGACCTGCGGATCCCTCCACAACTGCTCGAGACATGGAACAGTCGTTGCAAATTATGACGCCGCATTCCTGTTCAAAACAGACAAGGCAACGTGAAACCTCTGATCACACGCAAAGGCAATTCACAAAGCTTAGTTACCCGACAATGATGTTTACGCCGGTAGAACGTGAACGGAACGTGACAGCAACCGCATCTCACCGCCTCATGATCCTCTGCCCAAGGCTTAATAAGGCCCCACTTCAGCAAATCGTTTGCAGACTCCACGATCGTCGAGTCAACCGAGCGGAAACGGATGTTAAGGTGCTCCACTAACTTGTCGCCTAAATACGGCGACGGTCGCACAGAGTTGGGATCGTAGGCGTACAGCGAAGCGCCGACTTGGCCGAGCTGAACTGAGTATGCTGGTAGGCGCCCGACCCAGCTAGGCAGGCCCACCTTCCACGGCAAATCACGGCCACTGTAACCATTATTAGATAGCACATCCACAATGTCCTTCATCCACACGCTTCTGTTGACGCAGATGTACCGCCCGCGAGCATCATTCGTCTCCAGAGCCGCAATATGCGCCACAGCACAGTCACGGACGTCGACCATACTCCAATTCAAATCCAACAAAGCCGAATATTTGCCTGTAATCAAGTCGTATATAACTTGATTTCCGGGCGCGAGTTTTGACTTCAAAAGCATCGGACCGAACAACGTACCGGGATTCATCGTCACTAAATCAATCCGACGGTCGCTAGGCAATTGATCCACAAGCTGCCACGCAGCTTCCTCCGCTAGCTTCAAGCTCAAGTAATGTGGATTTTTCTCTAACGACGAAGTCACATTCCAGCAAGCGTCATTAATGATCGAATCTGGTGTTACCGAGTCCGCCATAGCAGCAATGGACGAGGTGAGGACGACCCTTTTAATGCGCGAACGTGCACATGCCTGAATAAAGTTTGTCATCATGGGAATGATGCAGTGCATTCGGCTACCAACGCTGTGCACTCCTGGTTCCTGTTGTTCCGACAGTGGGTCTCGCACTGAGCAGGACGATGGGGTACCCGTGTGGATGACAAAGTCGCACCCTGTTCAATCAAGAAAAAAAAACACAACAGCAACTCAGTCACCCGTCCATCACACACAATAAACACACCAACATATCCCATTACATCAAAGCACGCACCTTGGACAGCCATATCGCAAGCCTCAGGTGTCAAAAGTGACGTCTCAACGACCGAGAAGTTTTTGCTTGCATTCGGTAGCTGCAGCAAGCCATACACATCGTCCTTGCCATTCTGTACAGTACCTCGCACACGATAGCCGCGGTTCAGCAGCTCGCACACGATCCAGGACGCCAAGAAGCCGTCGACACCTGTCACGCATACTGGTTTTTCACTCAAATTTGTTGCCAGCTGCACAATCTTTTTCGCAAAGTGCAGCTGCTTCCAGACACTCGGATACATGCAGTGACGGTCCACTGGTCGCTTGAACATCTTGCTTGCTCGGTCGCCTTTCTTCTTCGTGCTCCGTCGTCGCGTCTTGAGCAGGAGCGACGGACTATTCAGCGTACCACTGCTCCTGCTGGAATTGGTGCTGTAACTGTTGCCGTGAAACTTCACAGTGTTCCTCGGTGTACTCACAGTACCGTCAACATTTGCAGTATTGGCGTTGTAGTTATTGCCATTGCGCTGATGGTGCATGAGCGAGTAGGACGCCGTCGACGCGGATGACGACGTCGTCGAGTCGAGTGACTGCGTGGGACTGCTCGGTCCTGCTGCAATAACAGCAGCAGCTGCACCAGGTAAACTCGTCCGTGCTCGGTCGTTACGACTGACGCTCTTGGCTCCTTGTTTACGAGAGGCTCGAGTAGACGACACGCGAGCGGTTTTCGTGCGCGGTGTCTGAAGTAACAGCGGCAAGGGCGTCGTGGGGCTCCCGCTATGATCGGTTCCTCCCTCCTCCTCCTCCTCGTCGTCGTACTGCGAGCCAAAGAGCATGGCACCGTCTGGGGTCGAAGAAACTGCTGAATGTTCACAATTATCACAATAGGAGTCACAAAAATAACAATAACAGCGGTTACAACAACACAACACAACATCTGGCAAGCACGGATGTCCATCATGGAGTAGGGGTACAAGAAACAAAAAGTGGGGTAGGGGTGCAAGCTGAAGTAACGCGTAGCCAAATCGAAGCTACCTTTTATCTGATTAACTGCGCCGACAGAATGCTGGCGTGGTTTCGAAACTGCGGGAGAGATGGCAACCAGCGCCTCGAGTGTTTATGCGTGCGTGCGTGTCCTCGTCTTGCACTGTAGCAAAGTGGCCGAGTCTGAAGCCGGTGCGGGTCGCTTTTGTTGCTTCTCTCGCGATGGAAGAATGCCCCGTTTCTGTTCTCGCGAGCTAATTCGATAGATGGATCGGTTAACTCAGGCGGGAGAGAGGTGGAAAGTGACAAGAGCTCGTTCGTTACTTTATGGCTACTTCAACCTGCAGGAAGGCATGAGAGGGTGGAGTGACAAGAATAAAGAGGCACGTCGGCAGTAGATTTTTTAGGTCGCGATGACACGGACCGAGTGTGGTCCACGGCCGGCGACAACAATAACTAGACGATAAATGTAACGGATTTTGTCATGGTAGGATGGCACTGAGAAGGGAAAAGGACCGCAGAAAATCCACTGCATTTTGTGAACTATCGATTTGCATATTAGCCGGATAGTTGAGCAACTCGTAAGCTTTGACGGTGCTCTCTATGCGGATCGCAAAGCAAACATAACTTGCATTACCATGCATTTCTGACAGCATTCTGTAGTTTACTTTGTGTGCTTCGTTATCTACCTTTCGCTCGATGGGCTATACTAGGGAGCTCAGAAAAGTGTATTGTACCAGCTGACAACGACAGCATAAAGAGCTGGACCAATAGCGATGACAATTATCGAGGGTCATGCCGCGATTTTGGGACAAACGAATGGAAAAGTTGACGTCCTGCTAGTGCAGTCACTTTGTTCACGTTATCGTGCAACAAATCCCGCCCATGCACCGATTTTATAAGTGTATCAGGAGATTAGTGAGAGAACTTGCCTTCACTTCCAGCGTACCACCTTCTTTTACTCGTGATCGCCAACAGCTAGTGCAGCCATGAAAAAAGAGCTCAAGCCGCATCGACGTTTGCTGTTCAGCTCTTTACGAGCGTTGTCTTCGCTACCAAAAGTGCCCCATAGATCACTTCGGTTCGAGCTTGAGGATGACGATGACGGTATACCTCACATAATACTTCTGGTTCTACTGCGGACGCCGTCTCCACCTTAGCTGGAACCCAAATGACGCTTGTTTCTCGACGGAAGCTTTGCATGGCGCTGTGATAGTTTGGGTTACTGGTCACGGTGAACATAGTCGTTTGCATCAATGTCCTGGCTCTTCGATACAAAGACATCGATCTGTTGTTAACTGAACAAAAGTTGAATGACATTTCGCTGTGCATTTGAGTTCCTAAAGCACACAACGTCAGGCGGATTGTCGACCATTCTCGCTAGCGTGTCAGCGAGGTGCGACCCAACATTGTCAAAACAACGTGCCACTACAAATAGTGTATCTTTTTACCGGTGCAAGTGCTGTAGCGTCGATGCCACCGTTATTGACACAGTTTCAAGAACTCGGTGTTCTTGAGAGCGTGCGGTGAACAGCAAGAGGTTGCATTGCGCTCCACACCGTCGTAACAGCATTGTTTGCAAGACTTGTATGCGTTTCCGGGAGAATATACATACTTTAGCTGATGTTAGTCTGATTGCTGGGGCTCTCCCCTGGTGCCTTGGGTAAGAAGCACTGCCGTTCTGATTCAATGATTGCCGGTTCGATCGACCAACCCAAGGTCATTAAAAGATGTGTGACACATAAATCTCAGTTGTACCACCCGGGAGCCCCGGTACCACTGAGCTCGGTCTCTCGTAGGAGCATAAACCCCCGACATCGAATAGTCGGGGCCCTCGACTGGCTGGCCCCCCAGAGAACCCAGTAAGTAGTGGCTATCCGGTTGGGGATGTGTAGGCCCCGCCGAAGAGGGCAGAGGTCGGTCGTTAGGAATACTAAATGTACCCACTGCAACTACAACCAAAAACAAAAAAACAGTCAGATCGCTACCTCAGCATTTGCCGTGTATCAACCTCGTACATGCGAGCACAATCGTGGCAATCGCCATCTGGCAGCAGCACGTGATTAGATACGGCGGCTGTTAGATACGGCGGCTGTTTGTGCGGTGGCGTTTGCGATCATCATTGCAGATGACGACGATGCGGCTACTGCTTTACATTATGCGAACCGCGATTGGCGGCGGTGTGTCGTGTGCTGTCAATTGCTGCTATTTGAAGCTGGTCCTGTTGTTGCTGTTGTTCAAATGGAATGGACAGGCAGAAGAGAGACGACGATTGGCAAGATGGTGAAGCCGCCCCGACACATGCGAGCGCTGCGGTTACATTGACTGAGCATATCATGCGACTCTCGTAACGTGGACATTGCCGAAAAGCGCAGGCATCTGCAGTGAAACGTAGTCGTATACATGAGTATACATCCTTCCCGTGGATAGTCAGGTCCCGATGGTCGACGATCATTGGAGACTGTCACGAACGCAAGTGAGTACGAAGCGATGATGTCTGACGCACCCTAGCACCCGGACAAAGGTCCTCACTACGTATGTCGTCCATCTACAAGCCACTATCTTGCGGCAATACGACGAGTGGCCGGCTGATTGCCGAAAAATTCGATCATCTGCGCAAAAAAGCTCTGCGACTGTCTCTGGCAAGCAGATCCTCTTTGCGATCCATGCAGATTCGATTGTCGGGTACGCCCGCAGCTCCTGCAGCAGCGACTCGAGTGCACTACACGGCCAATCATCCTTGACGCCAGGTATCAATCCTGGTCGGTCCTCATCTGACACCAACCAAAGTATAATTACGTCCCATCAAGCCCACGGGTCGTGATGCGACCGTGAGACAAGTGCCTGCCATCTAAAAATAGCGTCGCCATCGCCACCTCGAGACGACGACGACGACGACGACGACGACGAGAAAGTGATTCGTCTCCACTGCGACGTGCGACACTGCCATGCCTCGTCCGCCTTTCTGCAGGCAATCACGCTGACGCTTGTCATTGGCTGTATCAAACACAAGCCCATCTTCTCTGATTGGCTCATCGGCTGTACGACTATCTCATTGGCTCCCACCACCACGGCTCTCGCCGACGACCCCGCGAGCGCGCAGGGCTACCTCAACCTACCCCTCAGTCCTCACCTCACCTCCTCCCTACCCCTCTGACCCACGACACACACTCTCTCTCTCTCTCTCGCCCGGCGCATTGGCCGCGCCCGTGCCCTCCCTCCCGCGTCTCCTCGCCCCCTCTCTCTCTCCTCGTTGTCCCTGCATGGAGTCGGTCATTGACGAGGCGTTCGAGGTGCAAGTGCTGCAGCCGTTTCACGGCTGGACGTTCGAGCGCTTTTGTGACCGCAGCGGCAACACCTACCCCGCCCTCACGCGCGCGGCCGTGCATGTCTCAGGACGCGTCGACCGCTTGAATGGCGTCCAAGAGACGCCGTCCCTTGAAGTGGGGGCGCTCGAGTCGGCTTCGGACTGGATGTGGAGTCACGCGTGGATGGTCGACAGCGAGTACACGCAGTGCGACGACGAAGGCTGGACGTACGGCTCGTCCATCCCACGCATGAACTGTCGCCTCGCAGCTGGCACGAGCAAGAGCAAACGCGGCTATTACCATTTGTTACGACGACGACGGTGGATCCGCACGCGCGTCCGGACGCCGCTGGCGCTCACGAGCAGCGAGCAGCACGACACGAGCAGCTGCAGGTTGGCTGAAGACGCACGGCGGACGGTGATGGATGAGAGCGAGTTGAAACGACTGGCGGGGAAAGCTCGACGTGTGATTAATCGATATTATCGCGTCTCTCAAGGGACATTTAAAGCGTATTTGCTGTCGCACATGGCGTCGGTGGATCGACCGTCACAGTTTATACGAGTGGATTTTACCGATGATGATGTACAGAAAGAGGGGTGGCTGGGGATACGAGGGACGCTTGCACGTAGTTGGAAACTGCGCTATTTCTTGTTACGATGGGATTCCAGCAGTCTCGTGTGTCTAAGAGATCGGACGTCCATGGTGCAAGTGTCGGAAGAACTGATTGATCGACATACGACGTTGCTCGTGGAAGAAGAGGCGAAGCCACGGCAGTTTCACTTTTCGATCTGTAATGGCGAGCGCACGTTGCAATTGAATGCGGTCGATGGCACGTCGCGTGCGTCGTGGATCTCAGCTCTCAGTGAGTTGATTGTCCGTAGTCGCGCGTCATTTTTTGCCGCCGATGAGTCGGAAAGTGGCTCGAGAAGTCGAAGTTTTCGACGGATGCGCTCGTCCACAGAAGAGGACGGGTCGGTTGTTACGGCCCCGGTGGCTGATGAGATGAATGGAGAAAGCAGTGGTACGAAACGAAAGCTCGCGCGTGGAGCGTGGAGACCGTACAAATTCATCTCGTCGACAATGCAGTCGAAGTGCAACACGGACGCGCGTTGTCGTCGTGATTACGCGAAACAATTTAGCGAAGATCTCAACGTAAAGACTAAGATGGCTGCTGCATTTATAGCTGAAAATATCGATATCCTGGAGGAGAATCTGTGTTTTGCACAGGAGTACCTGCCGTCCGCGATGTCGTCGGTGCCAAAGAGAGAGATTTGGAGATTGCGGACGGAAGCAGATGCGACGATTGAGGCGTTTCGAGCCTGCGCGATTGCATCGCTTGTCTCGGGTCGGACCAGTGTGCTCGGGTGTAACATGCTGCTGAAAGAGCTGTATCTGCTTGTCCGACGACTTCAGGAGAGCGTCATATCGCTCGCGCCATCTCAAGAGCACGCAACGATTAAGAAGATTGTGGCCGAATCGCCAGCGAAGCGCCGAATTCCGCTCGATTGGTTTACGGAAGGCGTGTCCGTGGAAAAGGGACAGCAGCCCCCCAGCTCGAGTGACGAGAGCTCGTTGTCTACAAGCACGTCGATTTCGACTGCTGGAAAGTTGGAGTTGTCATACACGTCGGGTTCTTCGCTCGAGATGAAGATACCAAATTCTGTGTTATTATCAAGGCACGACAAGCGAAGTTTGTCTGTCCCCGAGTCAAATCGCTCAACCAGTACTGTGGCTAGCCACTACGGTCATAGCTTACGCGCATGTGACGCAATCAGGATAAAGCCGTACACTGTGATGCCATCAGCATTATGTGAGGGTCATTTCGACCTCCCTGATGGTGTCAATGGATACGTCGTGAAGGTTCACGAAAAAGACATTGGTTCATTGATAGGATACACTCTTTGCTCGACTGCGTACATCGAGCAGCTGGAAGCACATTTTGAGAAAAGAGTGAACATTGCGGAAGAACTGCTTGCACCAGATTGTGTTACTACTAATAGCAGCGAAGCATTTGTACCATCATCAGAGCCTCAAAGTGAAGAGATTGTCATGGATGTTGCGACGTCGGCAGGCATAACGTCTCCGAGCTCACGCACCTCGACTACCGCGCCACCAGCGACAACCGTTGACGCGAAGAGGTTAATTTATTTGGCCAAGTTGCGCTCAACGGACCTGCAGCATACTTCTATGAAGTTTGCCTACGCGACTGGCTCGACAACGCACGAGTTCCACTGTGTGGCATACTTTGCGGCACAGTTTCATGCGCTCCGTGCACTCATAGTTCCGGGCAATATGGAGTTTTTGAATTCGATTATTGAGAGCAAGCGCTGGAGTACGACTGGTGGTAAATCCGGCGCGTTCTTTTCGATGGTAAGTCGCGCGCTCTTGTTCGTATCTTGGCCCATTTGTACGCGCTCACTGCTCACATGTTAACCCGTTTGCACAGACTCACGACAAGCGTTACGTACTGAAGGGCATATCATTGACCGAGTTCAACATGTTTGTTCACATGGCGCCAAAGTATTTCAAGTTTATTTCACGAGTGGTGGAGGTTCCGACGCCGACGGTGATTACGAAGATTGTTGGCTTGTTCAAGCTGAGTCAGAGTGGACGAGTACTGAAGCATACGGAATACGTGGTGATCATGGAAAACTTTTCGTATGGATTTCCGCCAGGGCAAATGTATGATTTGAAGGGAATACTCCGCCGTCGGTACAATCCATCGACTCGAGATAACGTGGACCATCATGATTTTTTCAACAGCGTCTCGAACGTGCAAGTCTCGATGAATCAGCCAGTATTGCTGGACGGCAATTTCTCGGAGCGCACTCCTGTGCCGGTATCGCAGCCAGAACTAGAGATCATTGAGGCTGCCATCCAGAACGACATTGGGTTCTTATACCGTGCAGGCGTTATCGATTACTCACTGGTAAGTCTGTATGTGCTATGAAACGTCTTTGTCTTTACCTTTGTTAATTTGTCGCATTGTTTTTTGTGCTTTTTCTGTTGACTAGTTGCTTCGCTTTGATGAAGAGAAACGGCAAGTTGTCGTAGGACTGATTGACTATTTGCATCAGTTTGACTTTTTGAAAAAGATGGAGTCTACGTCGAAAGCAAGCTTGACTTTCCGTAACCCGACGGTAATCAGCCCGATTTCTTATCGCCGTCGATTCATGAATGCTGTGAATCGCTATTTTGTCGGCATTGAAAAGGAGCTAGAGATCCGGATGCGTAGGCGTTGTGGACACAAGACGAAGCCGGTCATGTTGTGTGCAAACGGGACTCGCACTGTTTCGTCTACCGGGGTGATTGCTAATACTGCAAACAGGTCAACTTCCACGGCTGCGCATACAGAGGCACGGACAGACGAGGAGGTACACGCCGATGTCGCAGCACGACTCGCAAACAACATGTCGCTTACAAGCGAGTGTTCTTCTGTAATTTCGGAGCAATCTCCAGTCAAGTCGGAGTACCACTTGCCGACGTATGATTGTAACTGGACCAGCACGAGACCGCGAGGGCATTCGATGTCGCATATGTCCGACCACGACGTCAGTTGCGATAGCAAACCGCAGAGTGACTACGCATGCGATAACAGCTCGCCCCGCTCGTTGTACGAATATGCATCGGTGGAGAAAGACTGTTTGGCTACTCCACACAGCGAAAGCACAATTCTGGAAGAGCGTTGTTCATGACAGCCCAGTGCCCTTGGGTGGGCTCAACTATTAATTTGACACGTGGGAGCATGTGTGGCCTATGTGAAGCTGATTGAAAGGGCGAGGGTGACAGTAAATGGTGATAAGTATGAACGCTTGATCGTCGTTGTAGTACCGGTAACTCGCTCAGCTTGAGCACAAACAAGCAAGGGAAGCTGAACGTTTTATCGAGCTCGGGGCAAACATTGCACTCGTGGTCACAGCACCAGTGCACTAGTGTTTGTGTAGATGGGAGGCATTACCGATCCATCTGCCTCAAGAAATATGCTGTGTGGGAGCCAGCTGGACAACAATGCTGGTTTGCTTCAGTACGAACAGCAGATACATTGCAGGGACTTGTGGTTTGTACGGATCGAGGCCCAAGATCTACGCACCGCCTGTTGTTTGGCGGCGTGGGTCTTTTATCGTTGCAGTTTGTGGTGTAAGACGCCGATAGACGTTCAAGGGGGGTGTTGACGCTCTACTGGAAGAGCTTGAAGCTCAACATGAGCAAGAGCTTCGCGATCCGACATGAGTCTGTGGTATCTTTACGCTCTAGTCATATCCTAATGTACGGATGCTATAGAGCAATCTGCGTGTTTGCAGTTGGTCTTCATTTTCGTCGCATCCCGTCTGCTGCCGGCTGCATGTACGGGAGCCGCTTATGCTGCTTGTACAACTCTTGGCAGCCATTAACACTGAAGTTGCTAGCCGCTTGTCCTTCAACAAAGCTTCGGACACATTGTACGGGTTTGACGTAGACTCAGTATTTCGTGGTAGCAATTGGACGTAAAAGATGCAAAAACGCATCATCACGTTACTTTCTAGTTGTGACGTTACCGAAGGTACTAGACTCGCGCCAAAGGGACATTTCACGAAACGTCCGATTACCTGTGCCGGGCGGGAGTGAATTAACATGGAGCGTATCCAATGAGCAAAGAAGGTGCAACATCGACTTGTCCCGCAGTCGACTGACATTACTGAGAGCACTACTATGGCTTGAATCAGTTATTTATTTACGTTTACATTTATTAACATTAATTTACCTTACCTCGTTAAAAAACCACACCTGCATACATCTTATAGCAAGCACACTCTAACGAATACTCAACCGACCCATTCAAGACTGTAACTCGATCGGATGCTCGCTCAATATCGATCTTGCAACAGGTGGATCTCCAGCGTGAGCTCATGGAACAGTGCGTACGGAAAGAAAATAAAATTCACGTACTCAAAGGCGACAATTCCATTGTTTCTCGTTGATGGATGGCATCCGTTGAAGGTGAAGATGCCATTTATCTAGGAACGTAATGCAGCTAAAAACGAATTCAACAGACGGGCTCGCCACGATGTGTCAAAACGTTGTGTTCACCTCTCAGTATCAAACGTCTTACATCTTCGTGAATATCCCTTTGCTTCCTCGCGTCTAGATAGATCATGATCAATTGACAACAGTTGGATCCACGCAAGGACTTTCGAAGGTTATTGTGAGATTTATCTTTGCTCTCATGCGGCGATTGAGCGACATGGATGAATAATTTTCGTTTTTAGTTTTACGTGGAGGTAGGACAGGCGTTTGTTGATGAGCATCTACGATCCGATACGTCCACTCTGTCACAGTTGCTTTTCATTGAGCGCTCAGTGGCTTCGCAGTCAGTCATCCGTCGGCTACCCAGCACCTAACCAGCTAGCGTTTGACCCAAGGCGCCTTTGCACCGACACGCCACAGCTTTCTGATCCTGAAGCGACTCAAAAGTATAGACGAACTTGACACTTGATAGCGTCTACACACAAAGTTCAACTCGACCCGTCCTTGAGACGATGCAAATGCTCTTGACTTGAAGACTCGATACCGATCCCATCACTCAGTAAGAGACTTACTCACTACCCGCCACTGAAAAACAGATACCTCGCGGCTTGCATGCGAGCAATTAAACGCCCATTGCTCCCACTGTACCGTCTAGTGATATACTTTCGCCCCCCCCCCCGCACAGGGCTATTGGTAATGGACGCTATGACTCTACCGCACCCTCCTCTTCTGCTGTCTGCTGGGTGGTGGTACGGTCCACTATCCACATCTACAGCCACCAGCTGGAGGTCTACTAGAAGCACTTGATTCATATCCACATCTGGTCTCATTCAAATGTCGTCAAAAGCTCAATGAACCAACGTCCTTCGACCCCAAGTCGACGTCATGGACGAGCTTTTGCTGCAGTATTCTCGACTGTACCTTGAAGTCACGGCATATGTGACAACAATGCGAGCTCTTGCAGCAGATTGTTCGGTATATCCATCAAGCCCAAAGACCGAGTAGAGACAGACTCGAAACTTGCTGCAACGTGGGCTGATAAATGGGACGCGAGCGACAAAGACAGCGTCCGTGGTGGGCCATGACTGCTTTGCCAGCCCAAGTCCTTCTCTCACGCAGACGCAAAGGAACAGAAGCGACAGTGCCCTTCTGGGCGGTAGCTCAGGTCCCCCTTTTTTCTTCCTCTAGCTGCTAGAGCCCGTCGCTTGTACCCCCGGATCAGCTTCAACGCATGCGAGATGCCTCGTTGCGCTCGCAGGTTCGCGAGTGAGCCGGACAAAACCATCGGAATCTCCTTCACGTAGGAATCTCCTTCACACAGTAGTCATTCAAGAGCCTGAGCGCTCGCTCTCACAAGTCGATCATTACATCTTTTACCCTGCAGCAGTCAAGTGCGTTGTCGTCACCAGCTTCCAATTCAACCTATCCATTGATTGATCGAGTCTAGGCATTTTGAAAAACCAAAGGAGTTGGTCATCCCAGGATGCCTTCGTACCAGGTGGCCCTGACCCCGCAAGGGTCCGACTGCCCTTCTTCTTCTTCCTCCGCCGACCCCGTCCAGAATGACGAAGACCTTTCGTTGCAAGAGTACTGCAAAACGCGGATCACGACGCTCAAGCCGCCCATGACACAAGTGGCGAACCCATTTCAAGTGCTCGGGCAACTCGATCGTCTCCAATGGCTGCAGTTCCTCGTGGCTTTCGTCGCATGGACCTGGGATGCCTTTGATTTTTTCACAGTCACCATGACGATCTCGGATCTCGCAGAGACCTTTGACAAATCAAAGACCGACATCACGTGGGGTATCACCCTCGTGCTCATGCTCCGGTCCGTTGGCGCCATCACTTTCGGCATTGCCTCGGACCGATGGGGTCGAAAATGGCCATTTGTCGTCAATAATCTCCTCTTTATCGTCCTGGAGCTCGCTACCGGCTTTAGCCAGACGTACACGCAGTTCCTCATCATCCGGGCCCTCTTTGGTATTGCCATGGGTGGGTTATACGGAAACGTCGCGGCGACAGCTCTTGAAGACTGTCCGGTAGCTGCCCGAGGGATTATCTCGGGGATGATGCAACAGGGATATGCTTTCGGGTATCTCCTGGCTGTTGTCTTTGCTCGTGCTCTTGTTAACACAACAAGCCACGGATGGCGTCCGCTCTTCTGGTTTGGCGCGTGTCCACCGATCTTTATCATCCTCTTTCGCCTGTACTTACCGGAGACCAAGGTCTTCCAAGAACGGCAGCGGGTACGTGAAGCCAGTCGCAACATGACGAAAGCCTTTGTGGCTGAAGGCAAGGTCGCACTCAAGCGCCACTGGCTACTGATCTGTTACATGATTCTCCTCATGGCAGGATTCAACTTCATGGTACGTCCTGTAGGTCGTGAACTACCTTTAGTTGTCTTGTACGACTAAACTCGTGCCCTATGATCTCTACGTGCACCTTTGTAGTCGCACGGATCGCAGGACCTGTACCCAACTATGTTAAAGAACCAGTTCGAGTTCACCCCGAATCAAGTCACAGTGACTCAAGTTGTCGCCAACCTCGGCGCTATTTGCGGGGGTACAATCGTCGGGTACTACTCGCAGATGTTTGGTCGACGTCTGTCGATTTTGGCCATGGCCGTCATTGGGGCTGCTCTCTTGTACCCGTACTGCTACATCAGCAACGAGATGGTCATGATTGCTGCCTTCTTTACGCAATTCTGCGTCCAAGGGGCTTGGGGGGTCATCCCGATTCACCTCATGGAGCTCTCACCTCCTTCGTACAGCACTTTCATCGTTGGTACAGTCTACCAGCTTGGTAACCTCATTTCGTCAGCATCGTCGACCATTGAAGCTTCCATTGGAGAGAACTTTCCCCTGCCGGACGGAGAAGATGGAGTGCGTCGCTACGAATATGGCAAGGTCATTTGCATGTTTCTAGGTATCGTATATGCCGCTGTGTTTCTGCTGACACTCATTGGACCCGAGGCTCGGGGCAAGGAATTCGACGTGAAAAACGATCACGACCTGGAAGAGGCTGCGAATCTCAACCACGAAGATATTGACAAGATTTTGCATGGCGACACACTCACTCCTACTGAAACAAAGTCCATGAAAGCGTAAAGTCATGACGTACAACAATGATCGAGCTTTGAATTGGATCGTAGCTGTTAGTAGCTTTACACATTCAGCGTGCGCAACGCATGTGATCATTTGACCAGCTTCAGCCTCATTTGCGCCGTACAATCCCACGTTCGTCATGCAAAAAGGCAGTACCACTTTACATAAACGGTGTCGTTGCGATGCACCTCAAGACCCTTGCACATCCGGTGTTCATGTGCGACCGAATTTATCCATTCGATACTGGACATGAGATACACGCTTTGTTGTCTCTGTTTTCAACAGCACTAAACGCTGAACGCTATACAACATCGACATGCGCGAGAAGTAAAATACATATGCATTGGCGTAACTTCGGGTGTGCGCAATGGTGTTCGGAATTAAATACGCGCTCACAACAAAAATCTGTCCTTCTTCCAGTCGCGTCAAGTGCTTGTCTCCTGCACTGGACGATGAACTCCAAAAGGTACTGGTGTCAGCTGAGAGGAAGAGAATAAACTGCACGATCCATGCACCACGTTCTTGTGGATGCCGACATAGTGGATAAGCTGATAGGCTTCAGTAGCAATAGTGGGTGAACGACCAACTCCATCACGACGATGGTATCTTAGTAAGACGGTAGAAGACGTATTTGTCCTGGAACGTTGTGACAGCTGTCGCAATCGGCTCAATCAACCCTTCGTCCAACAGCGCCTGTCCAATCAGCACTGCGTCAATAAATGTAGTGGTAATGTGCATCTCGCGGATGACATTCACAGCCTCGGCTCCCAAGAAGCAGCCAGCAAAGCCCTTGTAAAACAGCAGCTTGTTCTTGCGCTCAAACACTTTATGCAGCACATTCGCTAGCGCATGCAGCGCCTCTTCCGTCACGAGCGCGTGCACCTCATCGGTAGCTGTAGCAAAGTCATAGTCTACCAGATCGGCAGACACGTTCGAGAGCTCTGACTCAAGGTAATTGCTGGCGTTGTCTGACGTACGGCCCCGCGTGGCCGTATCTGAGGTGAGAGTCTCCGACGCATCGTTGTAATCCAGTGCCTTGGTAAATCGGTAAAAGTTATCCTTGGAATTATGCAGCTGGTCATCCGTGCGAGACACGTGCTCAATGAATCCAAGTCTCACAAGGACATTACCATACCTCGTAGCTGTCTGATGATCTTCAGCAAAGCCAGCGATCAGCATCTCACGAACGGCGTCACCACCAGTAAACGCTTCCTTGTAAAAGTTGAACCTCGAGTGTCGAGTCTTGATTTCAAGCGCCGAGTGGAGGAACCGACACAAAGCCTGGAAAAACTCCTTCGGCAGTCCCTCATGGAACGAAATATTGATACCCTTGAGTCGATCCAGTCGCGCTTCCTTCAACGGCGCCAAGTCATCGACAGTCGAGATGGAACTAACAGTCGAAGCACTTGTTGATCCTTCATCAGACAGACGATGCACCGCCCTCGCAGCATTTCCCCGTCTTTCCAGCTCCATCTCTCGTTGTCGATCCCGTTCCCTTCGATTCGTCTCCACCTCTCGATGTCGATCCACGTCATGTTCCCCATCTTCCATCTCGTCCTCCTCCTCGTCATGATCCTCTCCAACAGAAGGGGACGACGAGTTCGTCGATCGATCTGCTGCTAACGTGTCTTCCGACAACGAAGACGACGCTGCAGTACTATTGTAACTCGAAGCTGGCGTCGACCGCGCCGAGTGAGCGCCTAGTTCAGCAATACTGGAGCTCACCCGCGACGGCCGAGAAAGCCGCAATTGACGGTGTTCAAACTGTTTAAAGTCCACCACGTCTTCCATCGACTCGCGAATGCTCACGATCTTGTCCAGAGCTTGAGTAGTGCGAGCCAATAAAGCCCGGATCTCGTCCTGCGACGACCGTCGACTGCGGATCAAGTTCTGGATAGTGCTAGTACTACTGCTGCTGGTTGGTCCGGTACTGTAGGAAGGCGGTAGAGCGGGAGGGAGACCTGCCATCTTGAAACTACCGGAAGAAGAACTGGAAGACCGAATGGGTTCGAGCTTGGGACCTGTGACGGTCGTGTCTTGAGGGAACTGGACCGGGTGCTTGGGCGCTCGATAGAACTCGCAGTCGTCGTCGTCGTCGTCGTCGTACTGGGACTGGAGCTGGACCGGCGGCGACTGCGAACGACGAGAGAGACTGGCAGAGGCCCGGCGCATATGGACAACCAGCGGGTCTCCCTGCTGTCCTCGCGATTGAGGGGTGGCTTGGACTGGCTCTTTTGCGAGGAGCCAGTGGAACCTGTGAGAAGGCATATCAAGAAATGAGCCACGGGGGACGAGAAAGGGGAGGGGGTTATAAAAGGGTAGAGAATGACCAGATGCCGATCACAAAAAAGAGACACGGCGATGTTACAGCTAGTGAGAGAGATAGAGAGAGATTGAGGATAGTTTATACTTGATTGATCGATGGTCTGGTCGAGTGGTAAGGAAAAGAGACACCCACCCACCCGCTTGTGGCTCGTTTAGAAGATGCGGTTCATGGCAAAAGATGACCGACCTCAACTTGCGTCATCTCTTGATAGGGGACCGAAGTTGATGCAGAAACGAGAGGCATGGTCTTTTTGTCCCCGATGTAGCGATGGTCTGGTTTTCAACAGTGTGGAAGTGGCTTAACAGGCAGCTGCTGGCCACTGGAGCTCTTTGAAACTGCTTTAAATCGACACTTGTCGTCTGTTTTGCGGATGAAAAATACATTGGACGTTCAAAAAGGTGGTGCCGTCGGTTCCTCCTTCGCGATGAGCTGGAATTGTCTTGACGACTGAGAGCGTGCTAGAAAAAGTAAATGTGCGTCAGTTGCCGCCGGTTTTTATCAAAGATATGAGCGCTCGACGGTGCGAGAGCTCGCTGAGTACTAGAAATGTTGGAAACTTTGGAGCATTTATGCAGCCTTCGTGTTGTTTCTCTGTGTGTATTGAAATCAATCTTTACGCAACAGATGACAGTTTCTCCACTGTGGATGGATTCGTGCACCTGTGCGTAACGTTTTCGTCGGCGGCGTCGAATAGACCCGGCATATAACAAGCGATCGTCGGCCTTTTACGAGAGCCATCCAACACACTGGTACAAGCACTGTGAAGGATAGTATAGTATCTAGTATGTGTGCATGCCTATTATTTCCAGGCTGTATGGTGGACATCACCAGCCCTGCCGCCGAGACTCGTATGATTGGCGATGCCAAAGCCGACCAATTGCACAACATGAGGTCTGCTGCACCGCCATATCCGTAGCTTCTATTGCCTCTCCATAATGCCGACTGACAGCACTTTGGGTGCGTGGTCCTTAGTCATTGTAATTGCAGTTGTGAGCGTACATAGAGTACACATTCAGCATCGATCTCAATTGTACGTGGCTTTGTTTAGAAGCTTCAGAGAAGCGATCCACTTGCGTTTGCGTGAGCAATGTTACAAGATGCATGAGCTGAAACGGAGCAATACAATCTGAACAAGATGCTGCTGCATGCGACGGTTTGACGTCCTAGCGATGGTTCTGAACATAGCCGCAAAACTGTGAGCGCGAGAATCGAGGAACCGGAAGTACTACACAACGATATCCTGTTACTCATGATAGTGTGGCGTTTATTAGCGACATTGGGAGTATCGTTGACGCAGTCAATGCACAACCAGCTCATGGAACGGTCTACTACACTTTGTGCTGCGCTCTGCGAACTCAAGGCCCGTTCCGGGATGTGCAGCGCGGTGTTTAGTCGTAGACAGCAATCAGAACGGCGAGACCGTTGAATCAAAGATGCGAACGGTGAGGGACTCAAGCACAATATATCAGCTGGAAACGCCACCAAACCTGTGGACCTGTTTGAAGCGAGTCAACAGAACTGCGGTCAATAAAGTACTGATGCCGATCATGACTCCGTACTCTGATGTGTCGTCAACATATGTAGTCGTGAATCCGGACTCCCCTGCAACAACAAGTACATCACATGTTGCGAGCAAACAATCGTTGACGATGTCGCATTCAGATTAAGTGCAGCGAAGAGGGTTCTCCAGCAAAAAGTCGTCAAGCACTGTCCATCAGTGATTGTAAGGTCGATAGAGTCGAAGGAACATCTCAACGAGAGCTTTCAGCCACTCGTGAGTTGTGCTTCTTTTAAATGGACACGGGTTGACTCGAGGATATCCCGGTTTACAGTGAGTATGGACACTCGTAGCAAAGTATCACGAAGAAGAACGAGCGCCATTGGGGTGCAAATCAACCACGAAAAATGCAAAAGTTGGGTTCGAGCGACAGAGGCGTCAGTAAAATGCATCCAAAGGCGTAGAAGCTATAGGATGTTTGCTGTAAACTCCCTTAAGATCGATCGTAAGGATCTTAGGGGGGGTTGTATATTTTGTGGTTATGATGGCGTTCCGGGATAACATGACTTGCATACCAAACAGATACCTGACTTTGCTATAAACGGATCGGGTACAATTGCCAACACTAACTATCCATTTAATGCTTGACAGTATCACGCAGAAGCGAAGGAATTACGAGGTGACGGCAGGACGTTCGCAGCAAGTCGGCGATTTGCCGTCGATCGTTGACGGTTAGACAACCCACAATGAGAAAAAGTCTGTCGTGTACTCGGTGTGTAGTCGACTGGTACTCATGTTTTTAGTTTGCCGAGACGCTGAGGCACTTTGCGCAGCGATTAATGAGTACGAGACTAGCTGGCCTGCGGAATTCGTAGACTCGAACTGTAGCTGCAGACGTTGCAGTCTGTAGGCTATGTTTACGAAACTCTGACCAACCTAATGACGATCCTGATGTCAGGCTGGCTCTAAGTCGTCTGCGAGTGACACTTGGGCGAGGCTATACACGTTCGTGTAAACCACCAGTTGTGACCCTCATGTCGTGCTTCGGCCGCTTCCACGCATATGGTTGAGGCGATCCTTTGTGCAAGCATGGAGACGGCCAAAAGTGCACGTGGATATCTGCACGTTCTTTTCGACTTTATACGCTGCACGCGCTCATGTCATGACGGTCGAGCTGACGTCGTCTGCTTTGCAATTCAAACGATTTGACAATGAATTGCCGAGCATGACGATGGGCCAATGCATTGAAGCAGCAACGGGAGTTAGAAGCACTGTAGGTTGTCTTCGAGCTGCGCTTGGCCAGACTGTCTGCTCTTTGGCAGAATGTTGATCGACTTGACATGGTGCTACAACCTCGCGACTTTTGCAATGACCAACACCCGTTACAAGTGCGAAGTACAACCACACGGCCATAACGTTCAATCCAGCTGACTTTTACCGACCGAACAACGCAACCAAGACCATCACCTCTTCTGTAGTGATGACTTCGATCGACCGTCCGCGTCTAACGTAGCACTCTTCGATCAGTAGACAGGATGAGGAATTGCCGTGTACGTTGAAATGCGCTACGCTTCAGCTCGATCGTGCACTCGCACACTTTTAGGGTCACATACGAAGAGAGGCTCGGGTATGGCGCTGTAGGAAGCAGAGGCGAACCCCCCCCCCCAACTTTTGGTCTCACTTCGATCGATCATGCAAACCATTACTGCTTGCAGAGCATGCAGGGAGGGCTTCTAGCGTAAAAGAGGCTCTGCTCATCTTTCCAAGGTCAGTCAATCGACACGCCACTGTTTCGTCTCGCTTGCACTCCAGGCAACAGTCAGCTCGAGTCAATACGTAGCGAGCTGCAAATCTCACATGGTTGCGTGTAGCAATCGAGAAGGAGAGAGCGAGGGCGATAGAGAGCAAAAGAGAGAGAGAGAGAGAACGCGTAGAAACCAAGCAAAGCAAGACCAACGTTTCGTGTCCACTTCATTGGTTTGTCAAACCACGGACGTTCGATCGCTGCTGTCTAGTTTGCAACAACCAGGTTCTCAGCTCGAAACCAAGCACTGGATACGCTCTTCAGCATCCCAACTTCATCCATGAATGCTGTCAACTTTAGTCGCGTAGAAGCTCAAGTTCTAGCTGCTCGCAATGAGGCACCAAAGCAACAATTACCGCTTCGACGCGGCCATTTCGGCCGTGTGCGAATGTCCAGAGACGACGTGAACCGGTACATTGCCACGGCCAAGTCGGTTCTAAACACTGCTCTGGAAAAGTCCCGAGAAGACCGTCAAGTTAGCAACGTCAAGTACCGCTCGTGGAAACAGCTCGGCAGGTCTCATGCGGGATTCAAACGTCTCACGAAGATTGATGATAACGGAAGAGACGTGCAGTATCGCCTCCAAGGCACGGTCCAGGCATCTTTTCATGACTTGATGGGGGTCTTGTACGCCGATTCCACGGCTCAGGTCATCGAGCGTCGAAAGTTTTTATCCGACGATAGTCTCGATGCCCAGACGCTGTGTGTGCTCAAAGAACGCAGTAAGGAGAACATGGAGGAGCACATTTCAATTCGGTGGGAAGCGATCAACTTGAGTAACAATAGTCCCATCTACCAGCGGGATATGTGCTACCTCGAGTTTACAGGTGTGACTACAGACGTGGATGGAAGATCCGTCGGCTTTATGATCAAGCAAGCTCTTGACCACGTCAATTGCATGTCGCTCAAAGACTCACATGGATTAGCACGACTGGAGCTGACTGAGATTATGCTCCTCGAGCGATCCAAAGACTCGACTAGCCGCGTTGATATCACTCTGGACGGTGTCCTTCGACGTCCGACAAAAGTGCCAGCATGGCTTATCAACTCGTATCTCGGCACGACTGCCACTTGTCTAAGTAAGCTCCCACTTGTCGTCCAGGAGCGGTTGTTAGCAAGACTGCCCATGCTGAGTACGTGGCAGTTCGTGCCGCCTTCATCCCGGAAAAAGTGCCACGTGTGCGCCACCCGCTTCGGGATCTTGGCCATGAAGTTCAACTGTCGCAGTTGTGGAGACGTTGCGTGCAAGTCCTGCATTGTAACTCGAACGGTGGGCGAGACTACCAAGTTTTGTACCAAATGTATCCTTAGAGTATCTACCGAGGACGCTGGAGCAGCAGCAGCGGCTACATTGGCGGCTTGTCCATCTGAATGTAGCTCGGCTTCGTTTACTACATCTACATCCTCAACGGGCAGTTGTAGTCATCGGGATTCGGAAGTCCCGGCATTGACTTCAACTACTACAACTACAACGTCGTCCAGTCAAAGTGAGAGACGAGCGGTGACTGATTCACGGATGCGAATGAACACGAAAGTGCTGGAAAACGTCAAAGATTGTCGATGTTATGGGTCACTCGACGAAGAAGTTGACGAGACGTTGGATACAAAGCACATGCTCCGACTGGATGCCCGTGACTTTTTACCCGTGCTTGGTGATCAAAGTGGTGGTCAAAGCAGTCGACAAAAGCCAAGATCTGCTGGAGCTGTGGAGGACTCGATCGCTCACCAGCGATACTTGATACAAGAGATGCTGTCCCAGGCAAGCAACTGCCATCAGCAGCGGACTCGGGTGTAAGAATACCCGTCCTGCTGGATCAGTAGTTGCGGCAAGAGTATTGCAATCGTCCTGGACGACAGTAAGAAACGGGTAATATGATATATACACACAACGTCAACAACCACCTGACGCTACGTCCATAGTATCCGCCGGCAATTTTTTTTGCGTCGCTCGTGGATGGCAGTCAGTCCAGTCCATTCACGATGAGGGGAGATCTCGCCTCTTCCAGCATCTCCTCAAGTTGGGTACTGATGACTCGTACGCCATCAGTCGATTCGATTCGATGATAGGAATCCGATCGTAGCTGCTGGTAGACTCTCTAGCGGAATCGATATTCTTGAAAACGTCCGCGAGCTTCTTCCCTCACGTCTGCTGGACGAACCCCGGCTCGCCCTTTTCCAGCCGATACTGACGCCCACGGTAGCTGTTCCCGTACCTGCCTTCGCTATGAGCCATGCACATGCCATTTCGCTGCGCCCACTTACAGCATCCACTCGAGTGGCCGCAACGTCGACCGCCACCATGTGACCGGCAGAAGCCGTCGCCCTGCGAGCTCTTTGAACAGCCTTCCACACGACACCGGACCCCACCTCCATGTGCTTTGCACATCCCACGAGACTGTGCTGCTTTCTGACAGCCGTGGACAGTACAGCGCTTGCCTCCTCCATGAGTGATGCACAAGCTGCCGCTCTGACTCGCACGGGAGCAGCCTTCGACACTGCACCGTCGTCCTCCTCCATGAGCCTTGCACAGTCCTCGTGACCGCGAGAGGTTCTGGCAGCCTTCAGCCGTGCAGATTTTGCGTCGTTTGCTCTTTGCACTGCCGTAGTAGCTCCCTGATGTCGGGGTCCCAACCACGTCCATGGAGGAGACACTGCTCAGTGCCGCTGCAGCTGCCAACATCCTTGCTTGACCCTCACCGCCTTCGTCCGAGTAGGCGCTGCCCACGCTCTCGTCCCGAGCCCGCAGTGGTCGTGCCGACACGGACGTGTACTTGACTTCCATCTGGCCACTAGCCGACGACCGGATGCTTTTCGTCACCCCAGTAGTAGCTCCAAAGACATCCTGGGAGTTCAAGTCCCGACACAAGGACGCAATGTCCTCGAGCAAAGGACGTGGTCCCCGCGTGGTCACGTACGCCGAGGTCTTTGGATGTTGTCGGTGGTCGTGGACATCCGGCGGCGGGGTGGGCAAGAGGGCGTCCTGAAGGCGTCGCAAGTCCATACTGTTCGTGTCCATCGGCGTCGGCGTGTCCTTGTTAAAGTCATACGGGGACGGCAAGAGCGTCACGTCCGGCGTCGGAGTGCTCAATTGACTCATCCACTCCTCCATCACGGACGAAAACGGCGCCAACATGGATGCAGCAGTCGAAGGAGCTGAGCTCCCCAGGACTGGAAGCGGCGCCGGACTGGCCAGCGTCGCCCGTGGCGGTCGGACTCGGATCGAGTCCGGGGTCGCTCCTGTCGCGCCCACTCCCACGGGAAGAGGCGTGAGCATCCCTGGAGACGGCAGGGACGCCAAGACAGCGGACGGCGTCGCACGGAACGAACTGGACGCGACGGCATCCGACGGGATCAAGTCGGGGCTGGGGAAAGCCGCTTTCCGGGCCACGGCCTCGTAGTCGAGAGGGGACGGGTGGGTGGTGCCTGACCCAGGAGGAGGACCGCGAGCAGGTGCCGAGTCGACGGTGAGTCGTTCGTATTGAACGACGGGCGGAGTCGGGAGAGGGGCCCGTGTGAGGCGCTCGTACTTGACACGAGGCGGGTAGAAACTGCTAGTGTGACTGGGGCTACTACTACTACTACTACTACTACTGGTGCTAGTGTGGTGATGATGATGGCGGCTATTGAGGTGGTTGCTAGTGTTCAGGTTGGTGGTTGGGGTGGTGATGCCGTAGCGTCGGGTGTGGCTGTAGGTGGTCGAGGGGGTACATCTGGCAGGAGCAGAGCCAGTGGCGTTCGCATAGGCCCGGGCTGAAGCGTCGGTGAGTCGATGAGGGGGCTCGATGAGGGACTCGTCCTTGCGTGGCTTGCGGCTCAGGAGCGAGAGCAGCTCGAACGGACGCCCGAGTTTCTCTCCGAACGGCATTCGGGTGAGAAGGGGGTTTGTCGTTTGAGGTTTGGGTGGGTGGGAAGATGGCTGTTGTTGTTGGCTAGAGAGCACGTGGTGGGGGGAGCCACGGCGTGCGCACTTTGGGGCGACGTTGCTGAATTGATACTGAGGACGTACAGCGCGACTCGGAAGGAAGATGGGGAGTCCAGTCAGCGGATCAAGGACTCGAGACCAGTCTCGGCTGGTTATTATTTACACGGCTCTAGATTCTAAATTTAAAACAGACGTCGTCACGAAGTTGTCGGGGGGGGGGGGTGAGAAGGTCCGGCGACCAGCCAGACATGTCGAGCAGACCGATGTGGAGCCATGACGGACGACTGAAGACACGTTAGGACTTGGAAAAGAACGTATGGGCGGCAAGTAACGGCGAAGACGGACGGTTTGAGGACGGTTTCGGCATAGGCTCGAGTCCTGGGTCTGTTTTTATTGTTGACGTGCGTGCCGTATGTATATCCCGCAGCACTGCTGTAATGGTCCTTGTTACCTGTCACATGGACTACAATATTGGCGCCAGCCTAGATATCGGAAGCAAGTTCTCGATGACGACAACCGTTCGATAGCTTGTTCTTGGACGTGCTACATGATCAATGCGGATCGAAGTCATCACCGTTCATGGCTGGCGCCTGGAAATACTCAGAGGGAAGCTTGACCGTTGTTTTACGATGACAGCGCATGATCGATCTATTGACGACGGCAGTCTCAGTGTTGTAGAGGTTACAACTGGACTGCATGCTAGAGAAAAACAAGTGTCACCCTCGTCGCACGCTCGAGCTTGAAGAGTGGCCGAGTCGGTTGCACCATCATCACGCCATCCGTGATTTGTTTGTGATGGGCACAGTCCAACGCTTCGTCGAATTTCAGCCCGTGCTTGGCGCTCGAACTTGCTTCCTGATCCAGTGAGCGCATCGACAACACATAGAGAGGCGGTTGATTACCGTCAAATTGAGTGGACCGATCAGACGAGAGCCAGAAAAAGGCTTCATCGCATGATGTGTCCCTGTGTCGTCCAGGGTGAGATGAGCTCGTAAACAGTATCAATACGTACCGTCTATCCTGAAGAGCTACACAGTCTTGTGGGACATTCGCACCGGGGCAATCGTCATGAGCAAAGCGGAACATCTCCACACAACGTCGTCATGCGAGCGCTTTCCACATCATGAGCTGGTGCATAAAGTCCATGAGGATACCATTCGTAAAATCGACGACGTGATGTCTCACGGTTGGGACAAAGAGTCCACATGTTTGCATCTTTGCAACGGGCAGGATCGTTTTTGTAAGGGACGCAATGAGGCGGCGGGAAGCAAACAATGTGATTGTCTTCCGTACTTGGTGATCATCCACCTGGTAATTTACCAGGCAATCCAAGCCGAAGACGCGCAATAATCCGAAGAAGACCAAGATCATGTTTGTCTTGGGTAGTAGCCTACAGTAAACCTTCCAACGGTCTTGCTCTGGGATCTCTATGCAGCAGAGTGGTTAATGAGTCAGTGAAACTAACATAGGCGACAACTTCAATGGTACGTGTGCGGCGACGCCAGCGTGCCTTGATTGAGGTCTCCTCGACACAAGTATCTCCTCATCTACGTCCGGCTTCGTCGCTGCCCGCGTGTAAGCAGTGCACGACGCGCAAGACGCTTGGCTCTGAGTGAAAAAAAAGGCACCAAGTGAAGTGTCAATGCATCGCAACAGCGACTGCTGTCGATGTGAAATGTGGCGTAGCGTTAAGGCGAAATGTAACAAAAGCTTGGCGCCAATAAGGTCTCGAATGCATTAGTATACATGTTTGGATTTATAGCTCTTGACCTTCGCTCCGGTAGACGCCATACTTCTTTGGCTCAGAGTCTGCAAGCAAACTCACTAGCTTCCGGTATACTCTGGAGCACGAGGGCCATCACATCGACGAAATAGGTTGTATACTCACGCTTCTTCTTGAAATGCCGATCATAGAAGCCACCAAGTGTTCTTACTAATTCAATGCATCCTAGCTCTTCACATCGAAGTTTACGGCAAACGTATCAAAAGAACACACCACATGGCATTTTCGAGGACAAGAGTCGGACTTGTTGTCCCCACTCGTTACAACAAACCCAGCGGTCTCACTGCAACAAATACCAGCTGTAACATCAACGCGCTTACGGTGCCGTAATCACGTGCAAATTTGCGACCGAATCCAGCGCGCTTGACGTAGCGTAACGTGCACGGCTGGTACAGGTAGGATAAGCGATTCTTCGCAGCTGCACAGAAATGAGCGGGATTGGCGTGAGCTTTGCGAATGGAATGGGGTCCGTTGAACTTCGAATTTCTCGTGCATCGTCATGATTTGACCGCACCCATCGAGATGTCGGCCTTTCCTACGTGGTGAATGCTGTTCATCACCGCGTGTCGTTTCGCTACGACTCCAATCGAAGTTTTGTTTGAGTGAGGCATTTACGACGAGAGGATTATTCATCGCTCGCTAACGCCTAAGCATTGATGATCCAGCTCCCCCTGCTTTTCGGTACAGCTGGTGCTTTGCAAGCGACATCTGCGCAAACGTTGCCTGAGTTGCTCCACCGGGTAGAGACATCGATATTGTAGCCTGCCACTTTGCCGAGCTGGGTAGACTGCTAACGATGCGATTCGGACGACTTCTTTCTTCGCCGTTACGACCTTAGCTAGACCCGATCACGGAGGACATGTCTTGAGCCTGGCAAACGTTCTGCTCGAAGTGGCTCCCCTGGCTCACAAGTGTGGTTTAATCGACCACGTGACTTGTCTCGTCGTGTCACAATCGGTCGCTGGTTCCACAATCGCAGATGTCGCCACCCATTCGTCGCCGAACTTACCCGCAAAGAAATGGTCGCCTCAACCAACTGGATGCCCGACTCACCCGTCAGGTGATCCTGTCGTCCTTTGTCGAGCGAGATGGATGAATACAGTCCATCCAACTGCTGAAGATGGTTGCAGTCAATCAGATGGTTGTACCATATCCCGACTCGACTCGATGTCAACAAGAAGAGCACACTAACGGTCTCTCTGGAGCATCTTTCCTCATCCGACGTGCTACTACATCGTGCTAAGACGCTTCATCGTCCAACCAGCAGTATCCCTATCTCGCAAGAACTGTGATGGGAATGCAGAGGAGTTTCTCGTTCCGTAGCTAAGTTGAGACACCGCAAGTCCCTTTGTCGAAAGTAAAGTCGCTTTTGACTTCTTTGAGCTTGACCTCATGACAGCCGGACAGTGAGCTATTCGTCATTGCATCGAGATGACCGCTAGAATCCTCGCAGCTTGTCTCAGTACGCAGACAAGCCGACGAAGGGCGTGCTCGTAAACAAAATCAACAAAGCAAGTGCGCTGATGATGGCGTGGTTCGTAGCTTGCTCATCCGGTGCGTCATCATGCCTGCAAGAACCTTCTACAAGTACGTGCGCGGACAACCCATTATAGGTTTCTGAATGCACCTTTTGATACCGATGCTGTGATAACGACCAGGGACATCATTCGCGACCAGACTCAGGTCACGGTACTGTCCGAAGTTCGCGCCGGTCTTTCCGTCTAATTCCTTCAGTAGTCTCCAGTCTGGAATCACCATGCAATCAATCACCTACGATGGTAAGCATTCCTAATCTGTAGCTGACCTCGATTTCGACCGTGATGGTGCTCTAGCATGACTTATCCTTTCCGAAATGTGGTGAACGCACGCACCTGACGCACCCAGTAGGTCCAACTCACGCACATTTTGACATCGAATTCTGTCAACTCCTACCCGACTGACCCCGTCTGGACACAATGGTTGTCCGTCTCAAGCGATTCCACGCTCTTTACTTGAAATCTAGTTAGCTGATGACGATCGATCTGGACTGGGAGGCCAGACGACGGAGACGAAGCACGTTTATCATGAGCGTCTTCTCCACGCTGTCTCCTCCTGCACGAGCAGACTCATTGCTTTGCACAGCTAGTCTTGACCTACCACATATTGAGGCCGTAGTCGACGACGTCTCGAGAACAGACGTGAACATCCGACACCTTTTTTTTCGTCCAGGTCGTCGATACGTGTGCGTTGCCAGCCTGTCTTCCAGCTCAGACGCGTTAGTCGTTTTAGATGGTAGTGGGACCATGCATGTAAAAGTAGCACCGAATGGGAATGATTGGCATCTACATGCAATAAGGCTGCAGTGGAGGAACCGCCACACAAAATGCGTGTCTTGTTGGAGCCAAAACTATGGGTCTTGTCAGTAGACTGCGTAGTCGAATGTACGCGGTTCAAAGGATGGTGTAATCCTTTGTCGGGCAGCGGTCTAATGCTCTGTGCTCACCGTAACGGTAGCCTTGTAATTGCTCTACTCCCCCAGCCTGTCTGAACGAAGAGCAGGCGAGTAATCCTCTCTCTACATACTGTGAAGTCTCTCTTTGAGTCTGAGAACGTCATTTTCGTGAGACCATAACGTTATTGACGTCCAGGCGCTGCTATTTGTACCTATAAAGGGTCAGGTGATAAAGAAGACCATTCAGAAGAAGCTGTTGTTGCCCTCTTCCGATAAGTTGGCACACAGCAAGAAGTCTGACACGCCGGAAGAGAGTCGAAAAGGTGTTGCTGGCGACACTGAAGAAAACTACGGATGTGTAAGTGAACAATAGAGGTAGTCAATTGTCATTTGAAACCAGCAGACCAAAAGAACAGTTCGTCATGACGGTACATCGGTCGCAACGATTTGTTTCTAATAATGTGGTGGCGCAACACACATGAAGTCGTCGATGAAATAAAAACATAGACCCACATGGAATTTATAAAAGCGTAGAAATAAAGAACATGTCGTCAGCTAAATTATATTGTACAATGTACCAGCGAGTACACTACGCGATGGTCTGGTAGACTAAAGTAGTTAATTGTAGCCGTTGATCACTTGAATGTTCACCACGGGTATACTTGACAGGCAAAGACCGTTGACACAGCGTACATCATTTCTGCAACGCGATCATCGTTAGAATTTGCAGGGAGACCGACTAGGTAGTCACGCAGCTTGCTTTTTAATGCCACATACTTTATGTTTCGATCAAGTCACGAGTCGTTAATGTATTTTGAGTACGTCGTCACTCTAAAAATTCCCTTTGTATGCTGCTGTTCAGCGATAGCTGATCAGCATATCTTTACTGTCCTGACCCCTCTAACCCACCTGGACGCCAGTCATCATAATGATCTTTCGCATACAACGTTGTCGATGATATTCTTCGATGGCAGCAGCAAACTAGCAGCATCTTCGGGTTAGAAAAACGCTAAATATCGATATTGAGCTGAGACTGCAATTGCGACCGGTCGTTTCGGTGACTTAAAAAATGGGTGACGCTACAAAAAATGGAACGTCTTGAATGTGGCTGTTTCTTCGTTGTGAATTTTGATCGGTTCGCAAAAAGATCATCCCTCGATCAAAGCTTATTTTGCGCTCCACTCAAGAGCCCGGGTCTCCCAAGGCACTTCGTAGATGTCAACTGACACTTAAATTGTTGTAAGTCTTTAGCCGAAGATGCAGCCATGCAATTCGACCGTAACTTGTCTCTTTTTATAAAATTATGTTTCGAGAACGAGTTAGCTTACAATTACATTCAGAGTACGTCACCACGTGGATAAGGAGCGTTAGATCAGCTGAAGCCTAACTTGTGAACATGTAACGGCACACTTAAACGCCGTGGTTGCTAATGCAGATGATATTAAGGTACATGATCCCAGTCATAGCTTAGATGTTTCGGCTTCATTCTCCATAATTACCCAGCTTTACGTTTGCGGGCCTACACCGGTCTTTTCTTAGTCGGCGACGACGGCAAGTATAGCGCGTATTTCCCTCAAAATCAAAAAGAAGTGTTTAGAAGTAAAGAGCATACTTACATTCGGATGTACAGTACACCATCTCGATTTTCTTGGATTTCTGGCATCTTTGTGTATTTCTGCATTGTTTCGCGTCGCCTTTTTTAATTTCCTTTTTCATTGTCGGTAATGTTTTGCATTTTATATTATCTGCGTTGATGTTCATCATCTGCAGTTGTTCGTAGATAATGGTCACTTGCATCCATGCAACAAAAAAATCCATCTCACTGCCCTGCCTTGACTACAAAAATGTCAGCAAAGTGCACGTCAACGACATGGTCACACCTCCGCACGGACTCAGAAGTTTGTCACTCATGTTAAAAGTTCACGTACATAACGACCACAATCGCTAGTCATGATCGATCGCTTCAAACATTCTCTCCAGTGTCGGGTCCCGATAAACGCAAGTGCGTCGAGCATAGCCCGTTCCGTCTACACGAGCGATTGCACTCGACAACGTTGCATCGCTTACCGCCACCATGTTGCGCGCAAAAGCCTCCTCCACGGTCATTGCGCATACATCCAGGAACCTCGCAAAAGCGAGACCCGCCATGCAGTGCACAGAAATCTCCACGTTGCGTTCCTTTGCTGCATCCTACTGCAACACAACGTTTGCCACCTCCATGAGCCCGGCAGAATCCGCCACCTTGAGAGCTTTTCGAACATTGTGGGAATTGGCAACGCGACCCTCCTCCATGAGCTTTGCAAAGCAAGTTGGTCTGCGCAGCCTTGCTACAGCCTTGATGTGTGCACCGCTTGCCACCCCCGTGCTTAATGCACATGTTACCACCCTGACTACTTTTGTTGCAGCCTTTGGCAATGCATCGGCGACCGCCACCGTGAGCAATGCATAAATCCTGGGATCGTGCACGCTTACCGCATTTGCTTACCGAGCAAAGTCGATGGGCCCGTTTTGGTTTCGTCTTGTCTTCCTCCGTTTTGTAGAGCATCAGAGACTTTGGTCGCGTCGGCTCTGACCCTGCACCCATTGACGCCGCCAACGATGCAGACGCCGTAACGACAGTGTTTGCGATTTCAGATATTGAGATGCTGTTGCTGTCAGAGCAGCATCCGTTCCAGTTTCTCTCGTCCTCCTCATCTTCCAACAGCGTCAAAGTCGGCATCGAGAATCGGTGATTGATAGGACCTGCGGCAGCAGCTGAGGGTCGAGCCACGTCGCTAACGAAGGACGTTACGTCGTTGTTGATCATGAGACCTTGAAACCTATCGTCAACGTTCATGGCCGTATGTGGCACGCCTTTGCTACCAAAAGACGGCACATAGCTGTCACTCAGTTGATTGTAGACCATGGGATCCCTGTTTGGCACGAACGGATTCAACTGTGCGACGTCTGATGAAACGCGACCGGCTGCCGATTTACCGCCATCATGGAGTGGGGAGAGATCTGTAGGCAGACTTCGACAGTACTGATACGGCATTGCAATATCGCTCTCTACACCGTAAAGTGGGTTCGCTACGGCTGTACCGACCGACTGCTGCAAGTTGTCAGCAACGTGAACCATGGGTCTGCCACACAAGCTCTGCATCGGGACCATGGTATGCCCTACCTCAGCGCTTGCCGGCGGTAGCACGGACTCCGCCATCTGCGTGCTAGCTCTGGTATTGCCGAGGAATCGATGAGCTTCGGTAGACATGGGTTGAAATCCCCAACGAACTCCGGGCACACGAGGTCCATCGACAGTGTTGCGATTGTTGGTAACGATGCTCATTACACCACGTTCCATCTCATGGGGTGAAGCTGCCTTTACGGTGGAGCTGCAAGCATGATGCTTGCTCTTGAGCATGCTAGTATCGGTGCTCTTGAGGTATTTCGCCATTGCCATAGCCATGACAGCGTGCGATGCAACATAGAGCCGCAACGTGGAATAAGTCGCTAAAGGGCGTTACATAGAACGAGAAACTAGGGACCAGGCTGTCGTTGCACAATCCAATACCGCTGCGACCGATTCACTGGCATTTCTGCGCGTTGCGCGGTTGCGGCTATGTTAGTTAAGTTCTTATTGACAGTCTCGTAGACAAGCGTAGCCTGGGTGGGACTCGGGCGCACGATTGTGCTTGTCTTTGAATCGCAAACCGTCATTATTGTGTAATTTCGTCACTTACGCAGGACAGGCTGCACCGATCACGATGTGATGTAGGTTAAAGACTCACGCCAATTGGTTGTCGTCCTCGAGAAATCGCCTTTTGCAAACATCAAAAGCCATGCATTCAATGCATGCACCCTTGCATCGGCATACTCACTCATCCGAGAGGTTGTGGCCGCCAGTATGTATCTCCATTTCACAATGCAGCCACGCTCATCTGAGATGATCGAGCAACGTGCTACAAATCCTTCATTCGCTGACCGATCCATTGAAAATGACCAGACTCAAAACATGCATTTTAAGTTGCAGCTTGGGCTGACTAGTCCCCCTTCCTAGGAACAGTCTCTTATCTAGCATGGACCATTTAGAATTACTGCACTGTGAGGTCTATCGTTGACGGTAAAGGCCTCCACTATACGCGAATATTAAACAGCAGTGAAGGTAGTATGTGGAGCCCGGCTTCATCCATGACTTAAATTATCAGCTCAATAGCCAAGGAGACACCCTGCTTACCTAAGAAATGGTCACGACACGTTGCCTCAACCGGCAATCGTATCCTGGTTCAGAACCTTCCAGACATAGCTGCACACATTCGTTGCAAACAGGCGATTATGAACCTCGGACTAGGTTCAACCTGGCGTTTGGTTGCCGCTAATCGAATGGTCCGACGTATTGAACCGCCGTTATTTCAAAAGAAAAGTTGAAGCATGTCTATGCCTACGTTTCTGTACTTTCGATTTAGGATGTATATGGAATCAGCCGCTTTTGAGCAGCAGATTTTGCAAAACCTTTTCATGTGATTTACAATAAGCAGATATGGCACTATGTCTAGTAGTGGGGAAGTCTAAGCATGAACGATCGTTGTCTAGATGTGATCGATGAATAATTATTTGCCAAATATGATTAATCAAACGCGTCCAGCAGTCGTGTAATCCGTACGTACCGGTATTAAAGTGAGCATTTTTTACAGGGAATTAATCTGTGCACACAATTTTTTCAAAGAATTACACCCTCTATTAAAGCTGATATTCATACCCTTTCTGCCAAACCTGATATTCGCACCCCTTTGTTTAGTTAGCTCTTACACCCCTTATCCTCGTACTCTTTCTCTATATAAACCAACCTGGAGATTTTTATGCATTATTCCGTACCTTCATTTCCTACACTTCTCCGATACTATAGTTCGCTTGACAGGAGTCCACATTGAGGAGCCACGTGAGATGGGTCTTGTAATCATGGCTATTTAAAAAAGGATCTAGATAGGAGTTATGTATGTTTGCCTTTTCGTGTAATATTGGAAGGGGTGATGATGAGCAGGTAAAAAACGTCATGATCGAGGTCATCGCCATGAAGTCTACTAATCATCAAGTTTGACCATATACATTCTTCTATAGATCGAAGCATCTTCACCACATTCATATTATGATTAGTCAACCACGACTGTTATGGATGGATATCGTCACTTCCCCAACCTGACTTAGTGTTTGTATGCGACAGACGATCGGATGTAATCCTGGTACTGTATGTTTATCCAATTAAAGAGAAAATGTACATTTTTTGGCCAGGATAAAACGCGTAGAGGCAGGGGAGTAGGGTACGCCTGCAGCTCCGATGTATTGGGTCGGAGGAGCTTGTTAGATATGTGTATGCTTGTACAAATCTTACGTCACGGGTGCATCAACAGCATATTTGCGTGCTGTCCGACGTTTGATGAAATTGCCGATCTGCATCCTGGAAACTCCCCAGATTTGTGAATGTCAATACAAACCCAAGTCAAGAGTTTATCATTTGCATATTTGCGCACTGTCGGACTTCAGATGAGTTAACCCGATGTAACGGGGCACCCTTTGTCTGGGTGCCACGAAACTTCACGTACACTAGAACGTGCAGAGGACGCTATTCTACTAAACAACTAAGCTGAGTAGAGGGTAAAAGAACCGTATTTAAGATAGCTAAGCTATCAATATAAATTTAATCTTATTCTAACTACATTAAACTACGTCGTCGTATGACGACAATCTGCTCACCACTCATTGCGCGCGTCTAGCAGCGATTGGTGGTAATATATGGTTGTTGTGTCTTTCATCAACCAATCTTTGAGCAGCGCATAAACATTTTCCTACAAGGGGATAATATTACTTCAATAATAACCATCTCGGATGATATTGGTAGGATATTGTCATGCTAGACAGTATCCCTATTGACACCGTTTGGTGTCAATATCATGTAACGGGATACCCCGTTGCATAACCCCCCAACCATCAATCACCCGTTAATTAAATTAAAATTGATTGGGATAGGGTGGCCACCGTTGGATCACTCTCGGAAGGAGAGCACTGATTGGTCAAATTCCAAATCATTTGCCAATTCATCGCATGGTGTCTAAGTCCATGCGATGTGCAGGAAACGACAGTTCTTCGCTTGCTTCATCAGCAGGTGATACTTCGCCTGCTGTTGCGATTCAGCAACAGGCGGTGCCTGTTGTAAACAGTCCACGTGGTGAGTCACCACGTGCGACAGGTACATCCGCTGCGTCTGCAGCGGGCACTGCGAATCGCAATGCAGATGAGCCTGAAGTAAAACTTGTTTATTCTGGAGAATCGGATGATGCATCCGACTCGAAGTCGACACCTCACGCCTCCAAATCATCCGGGGCGGACACTGCAAGATCCAGGTTGACTGGCTCTGGGGAACGTGGCGGCATCAGGTTCGAGATCTTCGGACCAAGAAATTATCCTGACGAATTCTCGTCTCCAGAAAGTCCATACGACTATAGGACGCGTGGGTATGGTGGTGATGCACCTATTAATCACCACGAGCGAAGTTATTCGAAGTATTGGGGTATCACTGGTGTCAGTGCTCATGCTGGCACCTATCAAGAAGCCAGGGACCGAAATGTCCTGCGCCGCGCTCCCCAAGTGGAGTGTCCGTGGATGCCGCCATCCAGAGAGTTGGAACGGTTGGCCGGCATGACTACCGAACGGGATCGAATCCCGCTGTTCGACTGCAGGGGTATTTGCCCACCTAATTCCAGCACGAAAACTATCCGTGCTGAGGATGAATACTTCACCGATGCGTTTTCAAACATCGGTGGTACAATGGCAACCGTGGTCGAGACGGTAAGGCCTTGGTGCAAGGATGGAATGCCCTCATTTAAAACATCGAGTGCATCGGCCGTGAGGCCTGGCTCGCTAAACTTGATGCAGCTCGCATCAGGTTTGAGAAGCGCAACCCAGTTGGGGCGCGATACAAGTTGCACCGGCTGTCAAGAGAGGCAGGGTTACCTTGTCTCTCGTGGAGTGATTCGTGTCCAGGTTGCTTGAACAGCTCGAAACGTGCCCCTATGGAGGCCTACCTCCCTAATGATCCCTACTGGAGGGCGCGCATATCTTCTGAGATGGCCGAAGGGATTGACACTTTGCAGTCCCTGCACTCGCGTTCGGGGAGGTCGTTTTCCGACGGTCCTTCTTTGAACGCAGCGGGTGGGTCTCGTCATAATGCTCGACGAGACTAAGTAAATCAACAATCAGCTGGGCACGAGGCTCTCAGCTGTCCCACACCGGTGGATAGCCACGCCAGCGGACGAGGTAACTCGTCCGGACGCCATTCACGTCGCGTTGGTTTAAAATACGCTCCACTAGAAAGCGTTGGCCACCGCTTGAGTCCACCAAAGTATATGGTAGCGGCGGTAACACCTGATCCGGCTCGAGGGTCGGATCAGCTTGATGTTCAAGAGCTGAACCGTGTAACGGAACAGTTGCAAGATGACTTGGCTCACGAACGGACTCGGCGTTATGAGCTTCAGGATCTTGTAAGGGAGAATTACGATTCCTTATTGCACGATCGTTCGGACGATCGTGCCGCGTTTGCTTTCGCGCAACTTGAGAACGAACGTTCGACTTGTTCTCTTCGTGACGAGCTGTCTGCAGCTCGTCGAGACATCGTTCAACTGTGTGAACAAGTCGCTTCGCTAGTCGACCAGACTGGCTTGTTGAAACGGGACCACTCGAAGGTGGTCTCGGCTTTCAAACGCGGAGGTTTTCTTCGCATATCGAAGCGGGCTCGTACTGATAGTACGGGCGGAGACGTCCAACGCAAAACGTAGGATGCGTACGAATCTTACGGGGCAGTTCAATCGTGTATGTGGTGCCCATACGGCGAACACACAGAATGGACCGATGTGCTTGGGCAGTATCTTATTGCTGCCAACGTTTGTCACTGCGCGTTTTTGTAGATTTACTGTAGACAGCAAAACTAAGTCTCCTTCATCAAATGAAAGAACACTTGCTCTTTCATGTTTGTCTGCATTTTTTCTGTCTATTGCGTCTGCAATCAAATGATAAACAAAGCGGACAACCGCTTCGCGAGTCACCAGAAATTCCTCTGCTGATTCATCCTTGTTTACAGCAGTGCGCTTCGTGTGCACTGCTAAAAGAACATTGTCTTAACCAGTAAGGGCTTCATAGTTCTCACTGTGTCAGTCGTTGGCGATGCTAAATATACCAGCATCGTCGTCATCATCATCATCATCAATGTCGATGTGATCGACATCGGCATCCATCACGCCGACACCGTTGTCGACGTGCGATGAGCAAGAACAAGATCGGTTTTCGTTCGAGCGATTCCACCCACCCCCCCTTAAACTAGAGTCACACTCTAAGAAGGCGGGTAAACGTGGATGGCGTAGGCCAATCACGAAGAACGGTGTATGCGTTGTCGACGCATGCACCGAGTTGTTGATGACGATTTCCGCCATCGGCAAGAGCTCACTCCAACTCGTAAACGAGTGGGAGTACCTCGAAGTATCTCTTCGAGGACGCGGTTGACGCGTTCCGTCTGACCATCTGTTTCTGGATGGTCAGAAGTTGACATTTTCAAACGTGTTCCATGTGAACAAAACACGGGTTGCCAGAGCTCCGCTGTGAAGCGGGGGTCCCTATCAGACACGAGTTCACGGTGAAGCCCGTGAAGGCGGAAGATAGTATCAATGAAGACATGATCACAGCCCTGGGCTGTAATTGCCTCCGGTACAGCAACAAGGTGTACCATCTTGCTGAACCGATCAACAAACACAAGAATACCAGTATTCTTGTGAGCGTCTTTGGGAAACCCGAAGACGAAGTCCATCATTACGGACTGCTAGCACTCTGCCGGAACCGGTAGAGGCTGCAAGGGTGCACGGGATAATGGAATAGGCTTCACTCGTTGGCAAACTTCCCAAGCGCGAATGTATTTGCGCACAAACTCATACTGGCGGTGCCAGTTGAAGTTACGACTGACCGTGAAGTAAGGTCTTTTCTCTACCGCGATGCCCACTTTTTGGGGCATCGTGACGCTCATACATGATGCGCAATCGAAAATCATCATGAGCGAGAACGACGACACGAGGCGTGTCGCCATTGGCTGCTGTATAGTACAGCAGTCCATCACGAACAGAATACTGTTCGGTTGAAGGGCGGTATTGAGACGTCAATCTTTTCAAAGCTTGACCGTACGGATTAGACACGGTATCCATAATTCGCAGAAGAGACTCATCTTCTGCGTATGCTTTTCGCACGTCATCGAGCGGAGTCGACGACGGAACACTCACTGTTAGTGTCGCTACAGTGGGATCACCCCTACTGTTGTGTTGAACATTCGGCTCAAAATCGGGCCGACGCGAAAGAGCATCAGCGACGACATTAATTCGTCCTGGTTTATACTCGACGGAGAAGTTGTACTCCGCGAAGAAAGACAGCCACCTTGCCATTCGCTGCGAGAGGTGTGGACTGTTTATGGCCGTGCGTAATGACGCATGGTCGGTATAAACGATGAAGGGCCTATCTCCTAAAAGATGTACCCGGGACTTAGCCAGTGCACATTTCATGGCAAGAAGTTCCTTGTCATGCACTGGGTAATTACGCTCAGCTGCTTGAAGCTGAAGCGATTGATAACAGACGACGCGCTAAACGCCGTCTGAGTCGTACTGCATTAACGCGCAGCTGATCGCAAAATCTCTGGCGTCACAGACCACATGGAACGGTCTGTCCTGGTCTGCAATCGTCAACACAGGAGATTGTATCAAGCTTTTCTTGATACCTTCGGAGAAGTGCTGACACTCAGCACTCCGTGATCGTATCTCGTTTTTCTTTAGTAGACGAGAGAGATGTACGGTCACATAGGCGTAATTGTGCAAGTACTTGTGCAAGTACGCAGCCAAGCCAAGGAACTTTCGAAGTCCCTTGACGTCGACTGGTACAGACCAGTCGCTAATCGTCATAATCTTTTCCGGATCAAGGCGTACGCCGTTTTTACCCACGATGCAGCCAAGAAGTGGTATTGCGTTCGCTGCATATATACACTTCGTGAGGTCACGAACAACTTATGCTCTCGCCTTAGTGTAAGAACCTTTCGGACGTGGATTAAATGAACCTCCGCGTCCGTCTTTCCATCCATAGCCCAGCTACGGACGAATACATCGTCGAAGTAACTCGGTGCGAAGACTCGCACCAATCGCAAAAGATTCGTAGCACATCTGTTGAACGTTGCAGGGGCGTTACTTATGTCCTTTGGCATCACTAGCTACTCCCAAAGCGTACCACTGGGGTGCTCACTGCTGTGTGCGGGATGTCCCGTTCACGCATGAGGATCTGATAGAATCCATCCATCATATCCATGGACGAAAAGATGGTGCATTTTGCATACCATCAATGATGACGTCCTTCCTCGTTATCGGCGTTTGAGCCGGTACCGTTGCAGCGTTCAATTTGTTGAACGCGTGCACTATCAGCCACCCTCCTATGGCCTTTCGCACACAGAAGTTCGGAGAGCTGTGTGGGGATGTTGATTCCCTCACATGACCCGCAACTAAGCGATCGGCAAAGAATTTGTCGATCGCTGTGACCTGTTCACGAGGTAGTGGCCACTGCTTCATGACACAGTAATTCGAACTGGGTTTCAGTGTGATCTCATGCCGAGTGCCTTTGTCCTTAGGCAGCTCGCATGGCACAGATTCAGGGAAAACATCTTTGAATTCTACCAAATACTTAAACAAAGGATTTGTCTTCGAAGACTCCCAAGATTGAGACGTGTATCGCTCAATCCGACTCTTCTCATCGAGTACACTCTCGTCCATTGATGGGCTACTGAGAGCATGTTCTTTCTCAGCAAACACTTGTGCCAACATAATGTCGGCAGCGTACTCGTCCTCTGTGACGAGTACGCAGATCTTCTTGATCTTTTCACTACGCAGATCTCGCAAGAATCTTTTAGATTCTAGCGTTGGCAACTTGATTACCTCCGAAGCTGACTTCGATGGTGTAAGCAGATGAAGTGTATAAGCGCCTACACTTGATCCGTCATTCACCAAGATATTCACTGACTCGGTGATTTCCTGGGAAAACACATCCGCAGATGGTCGGGAATCCACACCCTCAACATAACTCTCTCGGGAGTTATCACTCTCAGAAACTCTGGAACGTGTACTGACTTTGGGTGCACTACCACAGTCACGTCCTCTTCGATAGACTCTCTTTCAGTCGATCGGGGTTGCTTTACGATCGACTCTGTGTTGGTCGATCTCGCTTCAGCATGTTGTTCATCCTGAACAACACTGATCTCTCTTCTTGGATGCACCCTTCTTGGTGTGCATCCGTGTTCCAGTCCACTCGGTCCCTTCGAGTGGTGAGCCTTCGGCGCAGCCTTGGTCTCTACACAGGTTCCGGAAGCTGGTTCCAGAGTGTAGTGGCCTTCTACACTGTGATCTTGTGCAGTCGTACTAACGACCGTACCACAAGTGAGGCCATCGTACTCACCAGTAGTACATCCACACGCTTGTGGAAAAATCCAAGACGTTCAGCAGATGGCCATCCGATGAACAAACGACAGGCATCTTCACGGATCGATGCTGCTAGCTAACCCATGGCTGGTATTTTTTAAGCCATGCCAGACCGAGGTTGACATCAAATTTGTCATCTAAATTAAGTACGATGAAGTCATCATCGTACTGCTTTCCTTCTAGCGTGTAGTGGATTCACACTACACGTTTGTTCACTGTTACAAATGCGCCTGTGGCAAGGCACGCCGTCATTCTCGTTGGACGGAACTCTCACTCAACAGTGTTGAGTTTACCATCCTCCAGCGACTGGCGTCGAATCGAGCTATTCGACGGCCCCCAGTCAACTAGGTGCGAAGTGACATTCCACTTGTCACTTCGATCTTCAAAGGGATGAGGGACTCCTCATCACTAGGGGCAGTAAAACAAAGCGACTGTGTGTTGGGAGCAATCTTCGTCAAGAGTCCTGCAAATTCTATTGACGTTGCTGGATCAGAAGAATGCTCCGCCCCTACTGATCCTGTCCTTTTTTTGGGGTCCGTCTTGCTTTCGCGGCTTAGCGACATGGTCGGACCCGCGCCTTAGACCTTTCCTTGGCCCAGCGGTGGTCATCATGTCCTGTCTTTGGACGTGTTGCGGTGCTTGGGACACTACACTCATGAGCGTAGTGTCCAATCTTCTGACAGCGATGGCATCTTGCCGGTCGCTTGTGACTCAGAGAGCGAGAGTTCTCGCTCTCGATGTAACAGAGGTTCATTAATTCGGGATTTCCGGTTTATTGTCGTTTCGTCGGACGACAGTTTGACGAGTTAGACCGAGAGTGTATCAGGCTGAAGTCTTCTTGTTCCGCATACGCTATCGCCATTTCCAGTGTACGGAAGTCCTTTTGGAACATGTAGGTCTTGAGCAGTCCATCTACAAGGCCGTAGACGACCACGTTGATGAGCGTGTGCTCATCAACAGGGTTCTCCGTAACGCTACTCACAAGGTAGCGTAGATGTTGTGCGTAAGCATGCACATCACGCTGACTTTGCTTGAACCTCCAGAGTGCAGAGCGTGCATTGAACTCGGCTCTCGGCGGCTCAAACGTATCCTTGAGCCGAGAATTCAAGATCTTTAACGACTCAAACACGTTTGGGTCGTGAAGCTTGAGCCCTAAGGCCCAAGTCGTTGCTCGTCCTGTCAAATTTGGCAGAACGAAGGTGACTTGCATCTCGTCACCCTCAGTGTGACGGGCCCTGATGGCGTCATCTAACTCGGCGAACCACCTCAAAAGGGAATCTTCATCGGTTCCCTTGAACTTGAGATATCGATCTTCAAGGTTTCGGGTCGACACGTGTGCGCCCATCGAATGATGGGGGCATTGCTGCTGTAGCATGGCTAACTTCTGTCTTTCGACGGCAAGTTCTCCGTGTAGGAACTTTTTGATATCAGCATGTTACTGGTCTCTGCTTAGAGACTCCGACCTATCACTGATGGCGGGTTCGCGCACGAGCACACTCATGCGGCCGACTACCTCCCATTCTGATTCACTCAGATGGAAGTAGCCTTCACGTGTGACGTGAAAGCTGTCGTCTTCTACGTCCAACATGTTCATGTTGGACGGACACTAAGTAGTCGTTGGACGGACTACGAAGTGCTACCAGGTGTAACGGGGCACCCTTTGTTTGGGGTACTGCGAAACTTCACGTACACTAGTACGTGCAGAGGAAGCTAATCTACTCAACAACTAAGCTGAGCAAACGGTAAAAAGAGAACTGCATATAATTTAGTTAAGCTATCAATATAACTTTTATCTTTATCGAACTACATTGATCTTCATTGTCGTATGACGACAACCTGCTCACCACTCGTTGCGCGCGTCTAGCAGCGATTGGTGGTAATCTATGGTTGTTGTGTCTTTTATCAACCAATCTTTGCGCAGCGCATGAACATTATCCTACAAGGGGATAATATTCCTTCAATTTTATCCATCTCGGATGATATTGGCAGGGAATTGTCATGCTAGACAATATTACTATTGACACTGTTTGGTGTCAATATCTTGAAACTGGCTACCCCGTTACAGTAATCAGTCAAGAAAGTCACAGTCTTCGATGCACTGGATCGCACGATGGGGTGCCGTTATTGCGAGCGATGCCAACACCATGATATGAAGTGTTGTCGTCATCCCTTCGCAACGATAATGAAATAGCTCCACGAACCGTATATATTGTGGAAGAGCATGTCATAAACGTTGCTAGCACCTTTCGTTGTTGCCGAACGAGGTTGACACCGATCAGCAAGTGACAAAGTGATTCTCACTAGATGCAAAGAAATCGGTAGAGCGTGAGTGTACGCTTATTAAAACTTCACACCGTTCCGAGCACCCGTTTGCGCACACGTAGCACACACCCACGTCCAGGCCTGCTTACCGAAATTGACGGACACTACCCCGCAAAACTGGACACGCTTTGTGTGCCCGTGAGTCTCAAAAAAAGCAGCATCGTGCTCGTTCAACGGCGTTTCGGCGTCTGCTTCTTGCAAATCCATCGTTTGATACACACGCTTGCAGGTGAGGCATCAGGTAAACGCATGAAGCCGTCAAAAAGTCTACGCCATCCGACATCTATCCACCAAGACACGTTGCATTAGCGGAACGTGCCCTTCTGGACTGATCACGAAGCCACACGACGGCATTTCACTCATGTTGACACGATAGCCATCAGCTCAGCACCAACAATGAACAAAGTGGTCGGATCGAACCCGGCCACAGTGCGACGACGGTCAAGCTCCTTCATATGAACCAAAGACCATCTCCAGTGTCCCTTGCGTTCGAAATCGGACGCCAGTCAGTCGGTTGGTCCATTTGTCCGTCCTGTTCAAGCGTTCAGCCACTCCCGCAAGACTTGCGCGACGGCGTCCCACTCTCTGGATGCACCATCGAGACACAAAGCCGACGGCTACCCATCCAAGTCCGTCCGCTCCAACCTGCTCATCGGACGCAAACCAACCGGCGCAATCGAGACCAAATCACATCCAATCCAGCTGCTCCTACTGCTGCTGCTGCTGGAGGTCGCCCCACTATTCTCCGACCGCGACCTGTTGTCGGTATGTCTGATCGCCAATTTGCGGGTCCTGGTGACTCGCTCTCCGACACCCAGGAGACGCAGCTCCAGCTCGTTGGCTACGTGTCCAGTTCCCTGTCGCTCACAGGATCCCTCTACGTGCTGCTCTACTTTACGCACGTCTATTGGAGGTGCACCCCGCAGCTGCCTCGGGTTATTCAACACCGAGCTTCGCGTCGCGCTCGTACGGACTTTATGGATAAACTCGTGGTCGTGCTCGCCCTCTTTGATCTTGTCGCGATTGCAGCGCGCGCAGTCGGACGGAGCGTCGTGCACGACGTGGCGCTTTGCAATACACAAGCGGCACTCCTTCAAACCGCCACCTTGGCGAGTTGTCTCTGGATCTGCTGCACGGCGTTTAACCTCTATCGCTGGATCGTGGGCGGCGAGTCCGACGCAACGCGACAGCGAAGGTTCCCGGTTTTCGTGGCCATCGCAGTGATCCCTGGGGCAGCTTTAGCTGCGTTCCATGTCTTGAGTAGGTCATACATTTTTGTCATTAGTTACGGGACTTGGAGGAGACAGGAAGCAGATGCACCTCAAGGTAGTGACGAAGAAGGGCACTGACGATGGTGGTTTTTTGATGTGGTTTTTGATGTCCATGTATGTCAGCAAACAAGTATGGTGACGCAACTTTTTACTGCTGGCTGGATGAGATCCGGTACATGTTTTTCAGCTTCTACGTCTTTTATCTCCTCATGGTCGTGTTCAACCTTGTGCTGCTTGCACTCATCCACTTGAACATCAAACAGCGAGTGGCAAGGTGTGTACGAGTCCCTGCTTGCTTGGGTACTTTTGTTTGTACGTTTTCATGTAGTTAAATGTTCAGTAGTTAATGTTTTCATTTATGCTTGTAGACACGACACGGTGGAGGCCGACACATCGTCGATGCTGATTCGCCGCAAGTTGGTGCTCCACATTGTTGTCTTTATTGCCCATCGCACACCAATGATGATCTATCGAAGTAAGTAGACTGGCGTCTTTTGGATCGTCATTGTGGGTTATGAAGGAGTGTGTGACATAATTTACTCTGCTACGCAGTGTTCGAAGCTGGAGGGATGGTAAATTTTAAAGTAGGCCTCACCGTGCAGGTAATTCAAGACCTCAACGGACTTTCCAACGCAATCGTATACGGAGGCATGTGCCGTCGATATGCAAAGAAGGATATACAACTGCGTGATGGCGATGCCATCAGCTTACCCTCACCGACAGAAAGCATGATGGGTGGACTCCGTGTAAAGAAGTCATCTGCGATCATGGAAGATGATCAAGAAACTATGTTTCGTCCATCCGCGAGCATTGGAACTGCGACAGTCCGATCAGGATTTATAGTCCCTTGCGAGTCGGACAGTGAAGATTCAAGTGCAGACAGGAGTACTTACCCTTGCAAGAGCAAGGTCCTATCCCAGAAAGGTTACAGCTATAGTTATCGTGATTGGCATCAGCGTTTGCTCAAGCATTTTTCGCTACATCATGCACTACCTCCTGGAGGTTTTGATTGCGATACTCCGTTTGAGCCGAAAAAGATTGCGATCTTCGCGTCGACATTTAACATGGGTGAGAAGGATGTTCTCGATAGCGAATTGGTAATACTAAGCTACATACTGCCTCATCTCTTTGTGCATGGCGATCTAACATGACGTATGATGTGATGATACGTAGCGCCAGTGGATACCGCTTCGAAAAGATGTGTACGTATTCGGAGTGCAAGAGTGTATGAACCTTGCGGACTTGCAAATGAAGATACTGCGCCACCTCCTTTCCGGATCAAGCAGCAAATATGTGCATTACTCCCGCGAGATCGGTAAACGAGCTACAGCGTTGGGCTACCACGGATACATTGCTCTATGCATTTTTGTACGATCGTCAGCTGTAGCATCGGGGCGATTTCGGATAATACACGGGCAGCGAAGAAACCGAAATGCCCAGGAAGTGTTCCGCGGCAAGTCACTTTTGCTCTTCGGCCGCGCATCCAACAAAGGAGCCGTCGGTATGTCTTTTCGGTTCGATGGTACGTCATTCGCGTTCGTGACCTGTCACTTAGCGTCCGATTCGTCAAGCTTGACGCGGGCCAAGCGAAAGAAAGACCATACCACAATTTTGGAAGCAAGTGACAGCTTGCTGGAGGCAAGTATGGAAAATGACAACGGACGGAGTAGCGGCGGGGACTGTAGTAGCAAAGCTTCGATTTCTAACGGTGCTACAGTGAAAGTACACCAACCACCTTCTAAAGTGGAGCGCCGGAACCGAGACGCGATGGAAATTTTACAACAACTGTACTTAGATGAAGAAGACTATGGATTCGGATTCTCGCATTTACACCACCACAGCTTTATTCTTGGCGATTTTAATTATCGGATGACACGCAAAGGGGCAACGCCGATGGACATGCTGAAGCTACTTGTAAATGCTGGCATTGAACGCTACCAAACATGCGAAGATACGCACGCTCTGGTTTTGTCGTCGCCGTGTTACTCCCCATCAATTTCACATGCATCGGTGTGTGAGCTGTCTGGTCACAATGATGAAGCTGGTTTTCGACACTGCATGACACCAAAAGCACGGAGTCTAGCTCGGATTTCGTCAACTAGGGTGACGGTGAGAGAGCGAGTGGGCGCATTTCCGAGAAAAGGTCACAGTAGTTCGGTGCCATTTCAACTGCAATCGCTCGTTGAGGAGCATGATGAGCTGTCCCACTTGTGCCGCTCACAGCAGCTTTTTCACGGATTTCAGGAAAAGGCGATCACATTCTTTCCAACTTTCCGGCGGATACGAGGACAAACTTTGCGGAAGCCACTAGATGCACTCATGCTTCAGCAGAACTACTCACTCGTCGCAGCTCACGGTGGATACAGAGTACCGTCTTACACGGATCGCATCTTCTACAGCTCGCTCGCAGGTACACAGAACGCACTTCACTGTCTTTCTTACGATTCTTGCGAGCTAGTTACCTCATCGGACCACAAGCCTGTGTCTGCTTGCTTCGAGGTGGCGTTGCTAGCATCAGCACAAAAACCGTTCGTACCTTCACGAATGGCGGATGATTCAGCGTGGTTTGGCAACTCGACAGATACCAAGGCTACAGTGTTTCATCCTAACCCCTTGGCAAGTGCCATGGCTGCTGCTCGAATGGAAGACATACGTGGTGCGTGCGAACTCCGTCTAAGAATCGAGTTTCGTTCAATCCACTGGACTGATACACTCGACTCGGCATTGTTTGATCGCGCTGAACATGTGCAATTTGGCTTCCTTTTTCCACTGCCGTGCGAAGACGTTTTTGCGCCCCAGCGAAAGTTACATGAAGTGGCTGAGCAGTTGACGTTTGGCGGAGCCGACACAGTCGACGCGGACTTTGCGTCTACGGTCACACCAATCTCCAATTTTCACACCTTGAAGTGGCATGAGTTTGTCAACGGTGGGTTACGGTATCATACCATGGCAGGGGCTGCCGGCCACAAGCACGTGGCTGTGATTCTTCGTGGCCGAAGGCGCACAGTACCCAGGAGTGCACCGGGGTCTTGTTTGATGGGAGGAGGTAGCTGTTCACAGTTACTGCATAGCAGCTCGACCTCGCTCGTCTCTTCGCACTCTTCAGCTGCGCTTCATAACGGCGTGATATCGTCTGCATCTTTCTCATCGGAGCAATTATTCGGACACGGCACCTTTTGCGCTGAAGATATGATGAAGAAACGCGACGTTTGTGTGCCGCTGACATTGGGCGGAAGGCTACTTGGTCGTCTTCAGCTACGGGTGTCGTTGCAGTTGCGTCAGAAATGACACTTCTATACAGGCTGAATCCTTGCTGAATGGCGTGTAAATAGTGCATGATGTAGTTGGATAAGTGTATGTGGAATTCGGTATGTTGTAGTTGGAGAAGTGTATGTGGACTTCGGTTTGTAAGTCTTCTTCTGGTGGTATATTATGCAAAATATAGACGTGGCGGTGTGGTAAATTGGCTACTTCAATTCGAGCATCGACAATTGGATAATGCAGTGGATGCTACTGGTTCATACCATCCCTCCTGTCAATCTTGTAGAATACGGCTACAGTTACCTTCTCACTCGTACAGGCTTACTCATGTACGAGCGAAAAGGTAGCTGGAGCGTAGAGCTTTATGCTACCAGATAGAGTAACCCTTGGAGTTAGAACATGCTCGATGACTTTGACCATACAAATATTATTTGCGAAGCGGTGCGTAGGTTCCGTGTGCTTTCATCCGGGCGATAGTCGTGTAATCGACGATCATTCACCATCACCGCAGACGTAAAAGCGTATTCATTGCAAGATCCAGTGCGGGATCCGTTTTGGGTCGGTATTTGTCGAGATCCAGATGCCGACCCCGGAAGTATGCTTTGGACTGATGCTGACCATACTGATCATACACATATGTATCAATGAGCTGGCAATCGGCTTCAGCTGAAATACTGCTGTCTCCGGCAGCATAATTGTCATAAAACATAGACTGTGATCACAACATGAGTGCACGATCTGTACGACTTGTCTGATAAAACCCTGATTCGAACGCGAAAAACTTACAGCATAGATATTTGTCGAGACCCGAAAAAAAGAGGCTTTGTCAGCAGACTATTCGCGGTCGATTTCGGGTCCTCCACATTCGATTTGCACTAAATCACTCGAGAGCAAGACAATTCCACGTTTGCTGTAAATAATGCATGAATAACTCTTTGATGTTGTTGAAGCTATAAATAGGAGTTTGCTCGGCCAGCAGTGCTGCGACGGTCCATACATAATTCAAATCGCAATCGTCGTATCCATTGTGCGCACTGTCCAATGAAGAGTAGAATACTTTGCACGATAGAGAAGAAGCTCTGGAGCTCAAACTGAAATAGTGGTCGTCAGTCTCAGGACTAATTCGAGTTTTGTATATTCGCGTTCCCACTTTGGGAGTTCGGCGGTGTGGGAATGGGTCGTGTTGTACCTTTATCAATAAAAAGCTGGTGGATATCGCAATTAGTACGACGTGTAAAATACACCTAGCGATTTATACAGACGGAGAGACTTATAGATAGACTGTAAGGGGCTTAGAGCCACACACTGGACAACCAGTGTGGATCTACTCTCATTGACAGCAGCGTGGCTGGTGCTTCGCTACCTCTGTAAATTACGCAGAGGAAGGGAAACTAACTAGGAAAACTGACTAGTTGCTGGTAAAAGTAAACTGTATAAAATAATAATTAAGTCCTAAATATTGACCTTTATTTTAGTCCGAACTTAGTTAATTGCATCTATCAAAATGTATGTTAAAGTCTTGGTCACCACTCATTGCGCGCACCCATCGTTGATTGGACCACTTAGAGCTGGCTGATACGATGACCCATATCAGCCAATCCGTGAGTGTTTCTGAATATTAACTCTTATGGTAATATTCATGAGCATTATCAAATTTTATGATAGTATTTCGATTAACAAGTATCAAGATCAGTCAAATATATTATGATACACCATCACATAGACCGACATCAAGAAAGACATAGACAGAAAGTAGGTTCTAAAAGCTTGGCATTCACCTTGCGCACAATTACTCATATCCCTATTGTGCGGGCACGCAATTATACCAACAAAGGCATCAGATTTTCGTATATATCCAGACCATGTAATTGCAGAGTTAATAAATTAACGGCCTTTTCCCGAAAAAGACACCGACAAAAAGTAGGTCTTTGAAGCTTGGCACTTACCTGCGCACAATTACTCATAGCCCTACCGTATAGGCACGCAATTAAATAAAAAAGGTATTTGTTTGTGTTCAGACCCTGTAATTGCAGAGTTAATTAATTAATATACCTTTTCCAAAATTGACACCTTCCTCTAATAGTAAATATTGGTTTTCTAATATATGATCGTGTTTATCTTCAGGTTTGTATTCAGTTTCTCGATTTATTACCCATTACGCAATTGATTATAGGAGTGCGCTAAAAATCTCTATTAAATTACAAATATTTAATAAAAAATACGCTTTGCATACTCGAGTTCACGTGGCACACATGTACCTGTATTGTGCTACGATAAAGGGCTTAACCTATAATGGTCGGCGTTCACTCACAAAATTGCGATTAGTCTAACTTACTTGAACAGATAAGTTTGATTACGGTCACGCAGATATTCACCACGATAGGTAAGGCTTGTGCTCTACTCGCGTATTAACGCTACGCTACGTCAATACAAAGTTGCAAAGGGAAAAAGGCTGCAAGTAGGTGCCGTAGATGAAATCTGGGTCAAATCCAGCGGCTGTGTAGGCCCATAAACATTCAGAAACCTCATTAATTAATTCCAAATTAACTTGCAAGAATACGATTAGGAGTACTGTAGAATATCGTTTCAATGAACCACGTGGTGTGGCAGCAGAAAGTAATGATGGAGGACCAAATCCGATAATGCAACAGATACAGTGAAACACACGATTAAACAGCATTTGATTTATTCCGTACCGTAAATTTCAATGCCGAGTGTAATTTTTTATTGAAAAATGACATTTATGCTGGAGTAATTTTACACTTCAACCAAATTGAATGTCTTGTGTGTTGCCTTACCACTTAAACTCTTCACGTCCAGCGTGCTGTTATTGAAGCTTTGAAGCCGTTAACAACACCGACTAATCTCTGCTAAAGCATTTAAATGTCTACATCAAAACCAGTAGGTATGTAAATCCAGTTTCATGTTGCTTTTTATCGTACATTTCTATTGAACACAACTTTGTGCACGCAGCATATTAAGACGGCACTATCGCATCTAATCTTGGGTAAACGATGTTTCGGATACTAGTATTCACGATGTAGATCCCAAAAGTACGAAAAACAAAAAGCAAACGTTGGCGTACAATTAAATGATAACAGCTTCCATTAATAATGCTTAAGGCATCATCGCATCTTTCCTGCTTGCAATACGCCTGCAGTAGAAGAAGGCTAAAATCTTTTAGATGCATACAGTAAGAGTTGACATATAACATTGATTCATAACATACTATAGAGATTGCATGCTAAAAACTAGAGCCAATTAGCAAGAAGCAAATTCCTATTTTACAACTACTACAGCTACAACATCAGCACTTCAGTACCAACAACGACAGTAACACTAGTAAAACAACAACTGTGTATAAGCAGCATAAAAAAGCAGCTGCACCAATACCGACAACAGCAACAGCGGCAGCGAAAACAACAAAAGTAGCATTAGTAACAAAGCAACAACATCAACAGCCGCAGCAGCAGCAACGATAGTACCATCACCAGCAAATACAACTGATTTATCACATATCCAATACAACAACAAATACCACTACAGCAACAGCAATGATACCAGCAACAAATCAGGAGCAAATAAAAGATACTAGTAACAAAAGAATAACTAGCCTTATAAACTATAGCACATTACCAAATCGTCGACATAAACGATACACTTAAATGCGACAACATTAGCATCGATTGCCTACATTTACGGCCGCAAAAGACAACGTGTAGACGCTGAAGTTTTACTTCACCGTCTTCTCCATCAACTGGTGGCTGCGGTACCAGCACTCCCGCGGCAGAACCCTCTTCGCGACCCCTTTTACAGTGTGGGGGTTGAGCACGGATGTACAATGGGAATTAATAAATGACTGAATGTGTGAGATTTTACGTACATCACGATAACTTGAGCCTATGAAGACGTGAAGCGTTTTTAATTTATAATTATCGGGGGCATTATGTACAATGAAATTATTAGGGTTTTTCTAGTTATCTGGAGTTTTTTGTAATCAAGCGGGCATTTATATTTCCTTATAATAGATGTAAAAATCTAATACTTATAAATGAATGCCCGCTCATATAAAAATGATTTTGGGTGAGCAATTACATGCTACTGCTATGTTGACAGCCATTCCTAGTAATAAAGGATAGTCTGTAACATATGAGACACCTACAGCGTTCCTATAACGTGGTTGCATCTTGCGAGCTGCATCCACCTTTTGAAAGTGCGCTCTTTCGCTTAGAAATATTACGCACGATTATAAAGAATGCAAAACAATTTTGTGTGATTAGATACGCACACATGCACATTTCCCCAATCGCTTATTGCGTAGTTGAGAGAAATAGAAATCGCGCGTTTGTCTCGCCGTCCCACCGATATATTTGTGTGAGATGAGGTCAGTGATGAACTAAGGCGTAATGATTGCAGCAATTTGCTGCGACTTTGTGCATCTAAGCCGAAAATTGTAACAACTTATTTGATTTTTGTTATGACGAACTCCTTGTAAGCAGTGCGTAAAGGACGGACGGAAGGAAATAACAGGAGGCTGAGGAATGTATCTATACCATAAAATCTCTGATCTCCGACAGGCTCGGACCGGGACGAAGCCAGCATTTTTGTGTGTACTTTTGTGTGCATTATTAGAAGTGGACGGGGAGCTTAACAAAAGATTTATTGAGATATATTTATTTGTGTATGGAACGGGGCACCCTGAAGCTTGTACTGATGACAGTACAAGCTACTTGTTCTGATGACAGAATAAGCTACTTGTTCTGATGACAGAATAAGGCGGTGCCTCGTAACTTCACGTACACTAGTACGTGCAGAGGAAGACGGTAAGAAGAAGCGAGTACTTGGTTAAAGTAAAAAGTAGAACTGTATTTATAATAGTTAATGTCTGCAATAAATCACTATTTATCTTCATCTAACTATGTCTGAATACAAATATGTAAATCACCACTCATTGCGTGCGTCTGTCGTGGCGCGTCTTCGTTGGTTGATATAATGGCCTATATCAACCAATTAGGAACTACTCGTAAGTGCTACAGAATATTTGTCCTTATGACAATATTCTGAGAATATAACTCTTATAGTTATATTCTATTAGCAATTTCTTATAAATTGTTATGTAACGATTCACCCCCTTACACCCCCCCTTAACCATCGGTCACTTAAGTGATTGATTGACTGAATGGTAACTCGCCCCAAATCATTTGGGACAGGGTTTGCACTTGTTGGTCCGAGTCCACTTTCCAACATTTCATCACATGGTTAACAAGCCCATGAGGTGCGCAAGCAAGGCCGCCGAGAGCGCGTCCGCACGTCTCTGTGCGGACGCCGAAGCAGAAACCACAGCAACTGATGTCTCATCGGTTGCTGAAGCGACTCAGCCTGTGTCACTTGGTGATGCAGGCGCTGGTCATGAAGACACTCATGTCTTCACAGAGTATGAGCTCGGTGTCTTATACTCTCCTGATACGGAAGACGGATCCGTATCGACGGCGATCGAATCTAAGCCGCCTGCCAAGCGTGGCATGGATGATGCTATGCGTCGTAGCATCTTTGGTTCATCTGATGAATCAGATGAACCATCGCCGAAGCGAAGTCGCTCGAGGTCGCGAGACTCGGGCGCTAACAGTGGTGTCGGTTCTCCTATTGACACCGCTTCACAGCGAGGTGCCAGTCCTTCTGTCGGCACATCGCAGGAAGAGCGGGGCCGCAATGTCTTGCGTCTCGCTCCAGAGAAGAAGGATGGATGCCTCCTAAATCTGTCGTGGATCACTTGTCGTCGACGACGAGTGATCGTTATCGAACACGGTGTTCGATTCGTCAAGGATCCATCACCTTGACCCCAGCGCGAAAAACTATCGCGCTGGGAATGAATTCTTCATCGATGCTTTCTTTAGACATCGATGGTACAGTGGGAATCACAAGCGTGATGGTCCCTCACTACTTCAAGCGCGGAACGCCTACATCCATAACCTTGAGAATGTAGGTCGTGACGCTTGGAATGACAAACTTATCAAAGCTCGTGATAAGTTTGAAAAGCGAACCCCGACAGGTGCACGCTGCAAGCTGCATCGTCTGTCAAGGGAGAAGGGATTACCCTGCCTCTCTTGGGGAGACTCGTGCCCGTGTTGTGTGAACAACTCTGCACGAGCACCTAAGGAGGCTTACCTCCTTACCAGCCCGTGGTGGCGCGTACGTATCTCTATTGAGATGCACGAAGGGATTGAAAACCTGAAATCCCTTTACGACCGTGCCGGGAAGACTTTCTCCGGCGGTCCTTCTGCGGCACAGGATGTGCTGCGTCGTACTGCTCAACCAGACCCAGTACGTCAATCATCAGTTGGGAGCGGGGCTCCCAAGTATCCCAGGACGGGGGATAGCCGCGCCACCGGACGAGATAACTCGTCCGACGTCCGTTCACGTCGCGGTGGTTCAACAGCTGCTCAACTAGATAGCGCTGGCCACAGCGAGAGTCCTCTAATGGAGGTGGAGGAGGAGAAAAGACGCTCTTCACACGATCATGGGGATCCGTGTGTTCCCGAGAGCTTCTTTGATCGCGTAACGCAAGGGTTACGCAACGATCTCGAACATGAGCGGGACAGGCGTCTCCAAATGGCGGACACTGCCTCGAAGCATCGAGCTGAGTTTGCCTTTGCTCAGCTTGAGAACGAGAGATCTCTGACATCTCTTCGTGACGAGCTAAGGGTAGCTCGTGGGATTGTTGATCGGTCTCGGGATGAGATAGCTGCTCTTCAGACCCTTGTTGATGCCCACCATCGGGAGCACAAGGCTTTCTGCGAGATGCTTAAGCGCAAGGGCGTTCTTCATCGGAAGAAACAGCGTACTGGTGGTACGGCTTAAGCCGACCAACGTAAAACGTGGGATGCGTTCGCATCTTACGTGGTAACTCGATCGTGTATGCGTTGCCTAGGCGATGCAATACACGAAATGGGCCGATGTACTTGGGTAGAAGTTTACTACTACCCAAGTTAGTCACTACATGCTTCGGTAGATTAACCGTAGACATTAGGACTAAGTCATCTTTATTAAATAAAAGAGTGTTCGCCCCCCCCATTCTTGTCTGCGTTTTGCTGTTGCTTATCCACCGCTTCGGCGATGGAGTCTTACACAAAACGGACTACCGTTTCACGAGCCAGTATGAACTCATCTGCTGACTCGTTAGCTTCAGTGCGCTGTGAGTGCACTGCAGCAACATCAATCTTTTCTTCAGTGAGGGCTTCCTCGCTCTCACTGGCATCAACTTCTTCGATATCGATGTTGTCGATATCGGCATCAAACGCAATGACCTCTTCTTCAGAGCGTGAAGAGCGTGAACCAAATCGTGTTTTGCTCGCGCGAGTCCCTCCCCACTTAAACCAAAGTTACACTCTAGTGAGGTGGGTACACGCGGATGGAGCAAGCCATTCACTTAAAACGGTGTATGTGTCGTGGACACATGCACCGAGTTGTTAATGGCAAACTCTACCATTGGCAAGAACTCACTCCAACTCTTAAAGGAGTGTACGTATCCTCGAATTACTTCTTCGAGGACACGATTGGCTCGTTCCGTCTGACCATCTGACTCTGGATGATCAGATGTCGACATCTTCAAGCGCGTTCCGAGTCATTTGAACACGGAACGCCAGAAATCAGCAGTGAATCGTGGATCTCTGTCTGATACGAGTTCACGGGGCAACCCATGAAGTCGGAAGATGGTGTCAATAAAGACACAAGTACAGCCACTTGCCGTGATTGACTCTGGTACAGCCACAAGGTGTACCATTTTGCTGAATCTGTCAACAAATACGAGAATACCGGTATTCCCGCGTGCGTCTTTGGGTAACCCGAAGACAAAATCCATTGAGATGGATTCCCAGCACTCAGCCGGAACCGGTAGAGGCTGTAAAGGTGCACGCAGTGAAGGACTTGACTTCACTCGTTGACAGACTTCGCATGCGCGAACGTACTTGCGCACAAACTGATACTGGCGGGGCCAGTAAACGTCTCGACTCACCGTGAGATATGTTTTCTCCCGGCCACGATGTCCTCCTACAGGAGCATCGTGATACTCGAACATGATCCGCAAACGCAGATCAGTATCATCTGGAATGACAACACGTGGTGTGTCACCAGAAACGGCTGTATAGTACAGTAACCCGTTGCGAGTAGTGTATCGGTCTGGTGCAGATCGATACGCAGGCGACAATCGTTTCAACGATTCTCGAGATGGTTGGGAGAAATGTGTCAACAACTTCACAATCTCACCATCTTGGGCGTATGCCCGCCTCACATCATCATACAACGTTGTAGATGGGACTGAGGACGTCATAACCGCAACAGTGACTGTCTCACTGTTGGGTTTCGCGACTGTTTCAAAGTCGGGACGACGTGAGAGTGCATCAGCGACGACATTAAGTCGTCCTGGTTTGTACTCGACCGTAAAGTTGTATTCCGCAAAGAATGACAACCACCGCGCCATTCGTTGCGAAAGGTGCGGGTTGTTCACTGCCGTGCGTAATGACGCATGGTCAGTGTAAACAATGAAGGGTCTATCTCCTAATAGATAGACTCTGGACTTCGCGAGTGCATACTTCATGGCAAGGAGCTCCTTGTCATGCACTGGGTAGTTCCGCTCAGCTGGTTGCAGCTGACGCGACTGATAGCAGACGACGCGTTCAACGACTTCAAGGTCGTACTGCATTAATGCACAGCCGATTGCGAAATCGCTGGCATCACAGACCACATGAAATGGCCTGTCCTGATCGACAATTGATAGAACTGGAGATAGTATCAAGCTCTGCTTGATACCATCAAAGGAGCGCTGACATTCAGCGTTCCATAACCACCTCTCGTTCTTTTTCAACAAACGAGAGAGAGGTGTACAGTCATCTCGGCGTAATTGCGTGAATACTTATGCAAATGCGCCGCTAGCCCGAGGAATTTTTGAAGACCTTTGACATCAACTGGCACAGGCCAGTCGGTGATCGCCTTGATCTTTTCGGGATCAGGACGTACACCGCTCTTACCAACGATGCACCCAAGAAGTGGTATTTCGCTTGCTGCAAATACACACTTCTTGAGGTTTGCATACAATTGATGCTTTCGCATGATTGTAAGAACCTGTCGGACGTGGTATCTGTGAACCTCAACGTCCGACTTTCCATCCATAGCCCGACTATGGATGAATACGTCATCGAAATAACTCGGCGCGAATTCTCGTACTGGTCTCAACAGATGTGATACACATCTGTTGAACGTGGAATGGGCATTACTAAGCCCTTGTGGCATTACTAGCCATTCCCAGAGCATGCCGCTAGGCGTGCTCACTGCGGTATAGAGTATGTCCCGTTCTCGCGTAAGGATTTGATAGAAGCCATCCATCAAATCCATGGACGATAAGATGGTACTCTTTGACATACCATCTATGATTACGTCCTTCCTTGGTATCGGCGTCTGAGCCGGTACCGCCACCCTCCTGTTGCTTTTCGCACACAGAAGGTCGGAGAACTATGTGGGGAAGTTGATTCCCTCACATGGCCCGCAGCTAAGCGATCGGCAAAGAACTTGTCGATCGCAAGTCTTGTTTACGAGTCAGTGGCCACTGCTTCATGACACAGTACTTCGAGCCTGGTTTTTTTTTCGACATCGTGCTGAGTACCTTTATCCTTCGGTAACTCGCACGGAACAGTTTCAGGGAATGCATCCTTGAATACCAAATCTTCATAGAGAGGATTTGTCTTGAGCGATTCCCACGATTGGGAGTCATATCGCTCAACTCGTGTCTTTTCATCGCGGACACTCTCGTCCATCGATGGACTACTGAGAACTCTCTCGTTCTCAGTAAACACTGTTGCTGACCTTATGTCGGCTACACACTCGTCGTCAGCGACGAGTACGCAGATCTGCTTGACTTTGCCACTACGTAGATCACGCAAGAACCTTTTATGTTCGAGCGTTGGCAACTGATTGATCTCCGAAGTCAACTTCGGAGGCGCAATCAGATCAAGTGTATAAGCGCCTACACTTGATCCGTTATTGACTATGACATTTAATGTCTCTGTCATTTCGTGGGGACTTATTCCGTCAGGCTTCGAAGGACTTATTCCTTCGGCTTCCCGGGGACTTATTCCCGCGGGTTTCGGGGAACTTATTTCCACCGTATCTGTAATATCGGAGCTTATTCCCTTTACTTCATCTAGCTGTGGTTGCGCAACCACAGCGAGATCCTCTACGAAAGACTCTCCAGTCGATCTAGGATTATCGTTCTGCTTAGCCTGAGCGATCGATTGTTTCTCTTCTAGATGTTCCCCGCGAGGGATACATCTTTGTCCCGGTTAACTCGACTCATTCGAGTGGTGGACCTTCGGTGCAGCCTGTGTTTCCTCACAGCCGCCAGAAGCTTGCTCCGAAGTGTAAATGTTTGTTACACTAAGGTTTTGTGCAGTCGTACTAACGACCGTACCACAAGTGAGGCCATCGCATTCACTCGTAGTACATCCACACGCTTGTGGACGCTCCAAAACGTTCATCAGATGGCCATCTGACGAACAAGCGGCAGGCATCGTTACTTTTCGATGTTGCCAGTTTAGTCGTGGTTCGTACCTTCTGAGCCACGGTATTCCAAGGATGACATCAAATTTGTCATCCAAATCCAATACGACAAAGTCATCGTCATATTGGGTATCTTCTAGCGTATAGTGAATCTTCACTATACGTTTTATGACGGTTACGGATGCGCCTGTCGCAAGGCGTACCGTCATCCTCGTAGGAGGTGTGTCACATTCACTGAACTTGAAGTGACCATCTTCTAGCGATTGGCGTCGCACAAAATTGTTGGACGCCCCGCAATCGACTAGAGCTCGAAGGGACAACTTATTCGTCACTTCGAGTTTCAAGGTAAAGAGTGAGATCTCATTACCTAGAGCAGCAACGCACAACGTTTTTGCGTTGGGAGCAACCTTCATCAAGAGGCCTACAAATTCTCTTGACGTTGCTGGACAGTAGGGTGCTCCGCACCTACTGATCCTGACCGTTTTTTGACGGTCCATCCCGTTGTTGCGTCTTTGCACCTATAGCGGACCCGCGTCCCTGCCCCTTTCTCATGGGTGGACGGTCACTACGCCCAGTGTTGCGAGACACTGGACGAGGGGCACTACACTCGTAAGCGTAGTGTCCTGTCTTCTATCATCTGTTGCATTTCTGCAACTTCTTGTAGTCTGTAGAGCGAGCCTTCTCGCTCTCTACATAACAGAGTTCAATCGGCTCTGAACCTCCGTTGTCATATCGTCTCGGTTGACGATATGATGTCGAGCTGGCGCGAGCCTGTCTCAGACTTAAGTCGTCCTGTTCCGCAATGGAAATGGCTTATTCTAGTGAATCTAGTTCAAGCCGGAACAGGTGAGTCTTGACGGGACCATCCGCAAGACCCTGCATGAACACCGAAACCAACGTGTGTTCATCCACCGGATTGGAACTTATACAACTCGTAAGATGTCGTATATGTTGGGCGTAAGCGTGCACATCACGCTTACCCTGCTTGAGCTTCAAGAGTTCGGTTCGAGCTCTGAACTCAGCTCTAGGCGGTTCAAACGTTTGTCTGAGCCGCGACTTAAAGACTTCTAACGACCCAAACGCATATGGGTCGTGCAACTTGAGCCCCAGTGCCCAAGTTTTGGCACGTCCTGCCAGATTTGACTGGGCAAATGCAACTTGCATTTCCCCATCGTCGATGCGACGCGCCCTTATGGCGTCATCCAATTCGACGAACCATCTCAATAGGGAGTCCTCTTTGACTCCCCTATACTTGGAGATGTCAATCTTCAAGGTCTCGGGTCGACGCGAATGCATCGACCCACCAGCAGCAGCCTGCTGCTGTCTCAACAGTTCAAACTGTTGAGCACCCTGTTCTCTCAACAACTCTGCTTGTTGAGAACCTTGTTCGTGAAGCAAGGCTACTTTCTCGCGTTCAGCGTCAAGTTCATTTTGAATGAACTTGGCGATAGTAGCATATTGGGCATCTCTATTGAGAGCCTCTAGCATGACGCTAACAGCATGGATGCCCATGGTTGAACCCATCCGTTCAATCGCATCCCATTCGACATTGCTCAAATGGGAGTAGCCGTCACGCGTATCGTGAAAGCTTTGGTCATCTTCATCATCCAACATATTCATGTTGGATGTGAATGTGGTCCTTGGACGGACTACGAAGTGCTACCAGGTGTAACGGGGCACCCTGAAGCTTGTACTGATGACATTACAAGCTACTTATTCTGATGACAGAATAAGGCGGTGCCTCGTAACTTCACGTACACTGGTACGTGCAGAGGAAGACGGTAAGAAGAAGCGAGTACTTGGTTAAAGTAAAAAGTAGGACTGTATTTATAATAGTTAATGTCTGCAATAAATCACTATTTATCTTCATCTAACTATGTCTCAATGCAAATGTGTATATCAACTATCTGCTCACCACTCATTGCGTGCGTCTGTCGTGGCGTGTCTTCGTTGGTTGATATAATGGCCTATATCAACCAATTAGGAACTACTCGTAAGTGCTACAGAATATTTGTCCTTATGACAATATTCTGAGAATATAACTCTTATAGTTATATTCTATTAACAATTTCTTATAAATTGTTATGTAACGATTCACCCCGTTACAGTGTATGTGTGAGTGCTCGAAAGCAAGATTCAACGTGCCGATCTGCTGCACTTTATCGTGAGTAGTGCCAACGTGTTAAAAACTACGACATATGGACTGTGGACAAGCTATACACGGTAATGTTTCAATGTATACGTACGTGCAACCGAGTCCATGTATGTATATTTATCGAACGTACTTAACTGCGAATCGATCATTACATATATTTAATGACAGGTTTGTAAGCAGCTACGTGTTGGACTACCTATCACCCAAGTGTTGCATTGATTTGCGAGTTCAATCCGTACATGATGTATGAGCGCCGGAAGAAAATGTACACGACGACGAAGAGCTCGACCTTCTAGCACGACAATCACACGCCGACGCGTAATACGATTCTGTACTGTCCCACGAAAATGATAATCGGGCTGACACCGGAGCTAAGGAGTAAATAGATTATTGAACTAATCTGTGTATACGCTCTATCATGAGAGTCCAAATGAGCTAACGCGCCACGCCAATCTTATTCACATGTACATGTAGTTTCCTCATTCTTTTTTGTGGTATCACTCAGCCAGTATAAAATGGCGTGGAGACCAACATCCGTAGGCACAGAGAAATGACGACTGATCCAATGATGTTTGTAGTATGCGCAGGTACTAAATCTGTCATGGGCCCAGAGGCTTAAACTTCCCCGTATCTCTATATGCTTTTGTTTAGGTTATCATCTTTAAGCATCTTGCACATAGACTTGTGGACATTTGTGCTTTGCGGGCTATACAGTTGTGCTCGCCAAGAAACGAAAGTAACTGCAACTCGGCGACTTCCCCAAACTCCAACAC